AGCTGTTTCCTGTAGAATATCTACTCTCCACAATATAAGGTTTAGACAATCCTGTGTAGAAATGTAGTCTTATTACATGTCTGTACAAAGGATAACGTCACACAATATACTTCAGTATCTAAAACGATAGTTAGTCATAATATTCATTGTACTGGTTGTTCAACGTTGACTATATGTCAGCTTTATATTCTAATGTCACTTCATTCGGCGTGAGCACAAAACGCATTATTTAAATGTCTGCCAATAATGGCTATTGTGCATAAAAGACTGATCATTCAACATGCATAATATCCTGAATTGTTATTGGTGATATTACACAGTGCCTGTTCAATTGTGACAAATTATTGTAGAGCTTTCAAATTTTATATATTAATATGGGTTATTATAATATTATTGACTGGTTGGCAAAGGATATTTCCGAGCTTCTGTTGTTTTTGCACTTGAGTAAACCTCCACGCACTAAATGACTACTATTGTTTTGTAGTGTTTCGCTTGTCTGAAATACACATCTTTATAACCTCAACCTATAAAACGATACAAATATAAAATTAATGATCTATCTTTTAAGAGTCAGTTGCGACTTATTGGTTGGTTTAGAAACTAAATGAGATATTCGCCTACGCACATAGAGGTTATTTATACAGGTATTTGTCGTTTGCCATCCATATTATACGTTTTATTGTAGTCATTTAGTTTAAATGTCAATAAACATTTTAGGTAATTTACAATCTTGGTAAATGTGAGTACAAACAGTAGTAGACGAGACACGCAGGGAGTTGAAAGGGTTGGCAAAGCGCCAGTGACAAACACGTTATTTGAAATCTAATTATTGTGGAGAGTAGGTATTGATTTGACTTTGACAAACATTTGAAAATTAATAATTAAAATTATTAATAGTGTCAAAAAGGCGACTGATCAGCGAACTCTACTTATATTTTATTATATCTATGTATCTCAAAGGATATCCAGAGTGATCTATTGGTCTGGTGGTTTTTGATCATGACTGCTGTGACGGAGGTATTGGGCTCGATACCCATATATTTTATCTAAAATATGCCTGTATTTATAAATATTTAGATCTGTATTTCACCGGTCGGGTTACCATAGATCAAATTGCCGTCTGCGAGATGTGTAAAAAAATACTGTATAGACGTAGTACGAGTTCTTGAAATTTTTAACGCAACCAGATTGGTGATGTATGTCACATGCGTATGCGTAGTGGATACCTACCTACTGCACAACAAATCAATTACACTATCACGGCCAGTCTAATAGTTAATTATGTTAATTGAGTTCTGATGAACTAATGAATCTATACTAATATTATAAAGCTGAAGAGTTTGTTTGTTTGTTTGTTTGAACGCGCTAATCTCAGGAACTACTGGTCCGATTTGAAAAATTCTTTCAGTGTTAGATAGCCCATTTATCGAGGAAGGCTATAGGCCAATAGGAGCGGAGCACCAATGAAGAATGTTTCAAAAACGGAGAAGATTTATTACTATTGAGAGACGCAGACGAAGTTGCGCGGGTCAGCTAGTAAATGATAAAGTCATGTTAACTTGTACGCACACGTTAAAATATTCGACACAGTGCCGTTCAATGTGGGCTAATCAGAAACTTCAATTAGTTAGAAGAAAACAGTATTTGCATATGTTTTCTCATCGCTCTGTGTTATACACACTGTGGGTCACTTGTTGTTTTGTGAACTTTTGCCTTATTTCTTTATGGTCTACGAAGGACTAACATCAACATCCCTGGTTTGTTAAGAGTTTTCTGATTATTCACTTTCAAAATATAAATTTATTCTTCTCAAGGTTGTAAAATATTTAGAAGTCATTTTCATAAATATGTGTATGTATTCACTAACTTCTCTTTATTTTCTGTGTTAAACTTCTTTAATAGTGGCAAGCTAAATTTAGCTTGGCACTATTTAAGGGAGATTACTGGCAACACATGACTTGAATTGTAATAAATGAATATTCATATTATCAGAAATTTTAATGATTATATTATCAGAAATTTGAATGACTTGTAGTTTGATTTCATTCTTATCTAAAGCTGATTAAAGTATCATGTTAAATACCACAGAAATCGTAATAATAAGACACTTGAAATGAATTAGCGCCCGATTACATACAAAACCTATGTGGCCACATCTTAACACATAAACAAAATACAAACAAATAAAAATAACACTTTTGCAAACAACGGTGAAATAACAGACAAAGCGATTATGAACCTTAAATGTCCCAGAATTACAGTGCATTTTACTACAATGTAATATTTGGCACCACTACAATCTTTTTCGATGTATGTGAATCACTGTGAACCTGTGAACTCTTAAATAGGTTTGATCAAATTTTTCGAAGGTGACGATATTTTTTAGCAATGAAAGCCATAGATATATACTACCTTTTTAATATTTTAACAGTAATGATAGTTATAAATAAATGGTTCCTACTGTTTAAAATCCAGCTATCCATTACCAGTTAAAATACTTTATTAATCCAGGTAACAGCGTACACTTATGAAACAATTAAAAAAATGTAATGAAAAGAAATTATAAAAAATAATAATAACGAAAACTCACAAAACAAAAAAAAAATGTAATAATAAGCTACTACTGAACACAAAGTTGTAATCTAGAATAAGTTGTTAAGAAGTAATAAACTGAGTAGTTTCCTTTTGTATATTTACATAGTCGTCAACTGTGTAATACCCTTATTCCTAACACTATGTTTGAAAATATCTAATAGCAATATATATATACATATATGTATAGTATAGTAAATATATATAATCTGAATCTCGGAAACGGCTCCAACGATTTTCATGAAATTTAGTATGCAGGGGGTTTCGTGGGCTATAAATCTATCTAGCTAGGTTTCTTTTTTAGAAAATTTACAAGAAAAAAAAATACCGAGCGAAGCTCGTTCATCCAGGTACTAGTTCCCTTAATCGATGCCCGACTATGTTTAAAAAGACCATGCCACTTGTAAATCATTGATTTACTAGGGCACTGTCCCCCATAAACGGTTTGCATTTCATTCAAAATGGTCTGAACGTTCTTTCCTAGCTTGGTAAGAAATTTTATCACAGCACAGTGTTCAATTTTCTCCATAGTTTCAGTTTTCTTCCGGATAGACTTGTTTAGCAGGCGAATATTCGTAAACGAATGAAGCAATAGGGCTGAAACTTAATTTATATACTAATAATAAGTCCCACTTAGTCACACACACACCAATTAGTATGACACTAAGCGAGCGGCTTTATCTCCACTCCACCACCCCATTCCACGAACTTTTGGACCTCCCCTCGCATAAACTATATTGCATATCTGTTGTTGTTAGGTCGAATAAGCATGAATTAATACATATCGTGGTTTTACAATACTAAAATTTAATTTAACCAAATGTCATAATAATAAAAAAATACTTATTTTGGATCCATATAATATTGCACTAGACGATGACTAGCGACATTGTTTGTTTAAAGAATGTTGCGTATTATGACATCAGATTACAACAACTCGATAAAAGCGGGAAGACGAAACTAACAATATGAAAAGAGGAGACGGAACTAACATTATGAAACTACGTTTTACGTACATTTATCTACGTTTTACACAGCACGCACGCACGAAAACTGACTTATTCGATTTACTATATAAATTGCGGAAATCAAATCATCGATGTTCCCTCCGAGAAGCCATGTACCTAACGCGATTTAAGATGTCTCCCTACAAATTGAGTAAAAGAGAAAAAAATTCAGTTATTACTTATCACCCGTCGATTTCAGTAGGTCGTACAGTTTCAAACAAAAATCTTATCATATTTCCCAAAATGCGTTGGAATAATAGAGATAAAGAATTCCAAAAAAAACTTCTTTATTTTTATTTTAGCGTAGCGTTTATTTCCGATCCGTATCAAGATTGCTGAGGAGTATAAATATTTATTTTTGTGGATAAATAAGAGTGAAATGAATACACGTTTTTGTTTATAAACAAAATCTATTTAGCTGCCTATACGGCGTTACATTATGTTCACTGATTAAATAACAATTCGGGCCGCACTCCCGGTAAACGAAGAAGTTGAAACTTAATAATGATTTGAGTTTCTGCCGTTTTGTGCGGGTGTTGCATCTTGATAAACAAAATATTAGATAGTTCCTAATAGCATTCAAACAGCGGATTAGTTTTGAAACTATAATCACTTAATTCAAAGTCTGAAATACTTGTTGTGCTTCCGAAAATACCTTTTTCCTTTTTGGGGTTCAAACTATAAGAAATAGAAAGCTGTAATGCATTGGTATACCCATGCGTTACAGCTGATGATGCGGTGAGATTAACACATGTATATTTATATAAATATCATCATTATCGACAGCCCCTAATAGTCCACTGCTGGACAAAGGCCTCTCCTTAGAAATGAGGTTTTGGCCTGTTATGCCACGCTGGCCAGTAGGGTTAGTATAGGGTTTGTTTCAAGTTTTCCTTCTTTTTGCAGTCTGTTGCCCTGCGTAGTTTGCTCCCTTAGTCGCCTCTTACGACACCCATGAGATGAATTGGGGTGGTGACATACGGAAAACTTAATCATAAACGTTATTTTGGGGTACACCTGCAACTTGTTATAACGTCAATAAACGTTTAGTTATACTAGAAAAATACTGAAATTTTGCTACATTTTATGGTCACAATTACATTATTTATATTATATTTGCCTAGTATTTGAAGCTACTTATATGCCTTTCGTTTCCCTATCTCCCTACCTCCCTAAATGGTACACTATTGTGACAAAAAGTACTTCTGATACAGTTACTTTAAGCACTCTAAATATGGACTAAATACCTCGTTTCTGTTTCACAAATATTTTTTAAAGTTAAATGATATAACTATAACACTGGATTGTGTTTTACTAACGTTATAATTATTGGTGTTTCAGGTGACGCGCTGCGAAGCGGTGATTAAAGCGGCTCTGCCGCTTTAAATGGACAAACGCAAGATGCTGCCAAAGAGAGCGCGTATGGATAGCATGCGGGGTCCCATCGCCAATGGACCCCTGCAGTCGAGGTGATTAACCTTTGTTATTATGAAACTATGACATGTGGTATTAACACAACACATATTGGTCATGGTGGTAGGTTATGTTAACTTACGCGCCTTGTTATTTTTCTACCTCAATGTGTCGAATCAATTTTTACTTACATTACAAATGAACGTAAATATGCGTAAATTAATTTGGCATGTCGCCTTCGGCCGTGTCAAGCTACTCAACGTAATCGAATCAAACCATTATACATTAAGTTACCGGCTTAATTTAATTTGAGTCCACAATCAGATATTCAAAGTTTAGCAAAGATCGAATCGAGTAAGGACTAATTCTAAGTCGTCGCGCGCGAACAGCAACTTAACAAAGCGGCGTCCGCTACTTATAGGGCTCACTTATTCTTTTCTCGCGCTAATCCTATTTGGTTTCCATCAAAACTTGCCCGAAGGGTTGGCCCCGCTACCCACACCGCCCGCACCTCTTTGTTTGCCACCAAAATCTGTCTTCGTCTGCCCCCGGAAAAGTTTGTTGGAATTCTGAAAACTCCCTCCCTCCGCCCGGAATTACTTTCCCGTTTCGCCGCCTAAAACTTTCCCCGGCAATAATAATAATTCCGCTCCGCTATGACGAAAGTTTAAATTATTAGTTTAATCGTACTGGTGTGCTTTAATTATTCGCGTGGCTGGGGACGGGGGGCACTCCGGGCCACGTCCTCTAGTGATTAGCTAACTTGTCCCCCAATCTCCGTTAGTTTCCAATATTTGTCGGTTTGCTTGCAAATTTAATTTGTCAATTAATTTCGGTTTGTCTGTTGCTAAAGCTAATTACTTGTTACCAACTTGTGATTGCGTGCAATCTGCAAATCATATTGAGGTTAAACATTTAGTTAGTTACACTCGACTGATTTAGCAATATATTTAATTGTATTTACATGCTATTAATGATTAATTGCGCTTGGATTTAAATTTTAGTTACGTTTTTAGTACATATTTCTTATTTACAAAAGATGTATCTACGTATGTTCATTCGTGTTGTAGTACCTATAAAGCGTAACTTGATGATGTGTAATATATCAGACGATATTATATTTATTCATTTATTTAAATCAATGGAGAGCGTTTTTTTCTGATATATTTACATGTATATAACAATACGGACACCATTTTTATATACATGTAGTCGCAAGTCTATAAATCGGCATTCACTACCACTTTTGAGAGCAGTATTCGGCATATATCTAAACCACTGTAACTCCAAATATCGCTATATGTTTAAGCAAGCTGTATATATATCGTACTATTAATCCGCAAAGTCAGAAACTTTCTACATATTTATTCAACGCAAGACAGTGTGACCGATATATTGTTATGCTTTTGCTAGTCACTGTCAAACTAAATCATTATAAAATGTAGCGCTGTTGTCATTCAGTGTAATTTACTGTAGCAATCCTGAGTACTTGGCCTCTTTGTGCATGACATCATTAAAAGGTTTGACATTAACAGTAATGGTCTTACTTCTTATATATACTTACGTATAGGTGTTGCATGCCTTTTACTGCGCACCTGTGTTGTTATAAATACTAAGTGATGTTTAAAAAGTATACTTCTAAAGTTATTGAGAAAACTACTGCAACTTATTTCTAATAGATCTTCTGTTTTAGACCGGCGTATGATTGAGTTGATAAAATTGCATCACTATAATCTATAAAAGAAATAGATTGGTGATTTGTAAAATACTGACATTTTGCTTTTTATTAATTAAAAAAAACTAAACTAAACAAAAATAAAACTATCTGATTTTGTTCTCATCGATATGCCTATTTACTAACCACCGTGAATGATGAGGTTATTAACATGTGTGCAGATTGTTTTTCGCTCCAAAAATATATATTTTCAATAACCAAGGGGCAGACGAGCGGATGGGATAAAAGAGTATCACAAAACGTATTATTGCCCTAAGTATAACACAGTACTATTGGTAACATACATTGGTACATCCTGTTCAATCTCCCCTAAAAATACCATCGTGACGTGTTACATAGTCTTACTACCACTCGTGAATAATCTCACGACCACGTAGTTGACATAATAATGTAATTGAACATTATACCGCCGTGTATTATCGCCTGTTGATAAGGTACTGTGTATGTCGCGTTACTACTACCAATTTATCGTCTTACGTTGTAAATGTAACGAGAATTTACGTCACACATAGTATTTTATAAGTTTATTTATTACCATTTGTTATAATTTACACTATATGTGTAGTGAATGTACATGCATGAGGCTGTGTGCGTACTTTCTGTCTGCTGTCGCCTAGTGACACGTTACGTATTGCAGCAAATTCTTGTACCGATACAAATATGTGTATGATGCACTGAAATTAGAACGGTTTCAAAAGTAATAAAATAGTTTGAAGTTTGAAAGTGATCTTGTAGGTGTAATTTATTTTCTAGTTGCTTTATACCAATGAAAAACAACGTTATTGCAATAAGTAACTCAGAAGAATCATACTACAGAATTATTTAAGGTTATTTCGATACCTTTACGTTGTCTTTCACACAAAATGGATCGTCACAACACCTGAGTTTATTGTTCATTAGGAACTAATCTTCGCGACCCTTACCAAATATACACTAGCCTTTAGTTTACCTTAGAATTAAATATTGTCTTAAACTTTAGTATGTTCACATCGCAAAATACTAAAATAGTTAATTTCGTATATGTGTTTTAATGACTTTATTATAACATATTTCCAGGCCCCTGGTGGCGTTATTGGACGGACGGGATTGCACCGTCGAAATGCCGATACTAAAGGACGTGGCGACAGTGGCGTTCTGCGACGCACAATCCACGTCGGAGATACATGAGAAGGTGCTCAACGAGGCGGTTGGCGCCCTTATGTGGCACACGATCATACTCACTAAGGAAGACTTGGAGAAGTTCAAGGCGTTAAGAATCATTGTCCGTATAGGCTCCGGCGTCGACAATATTGACGTTAAAGCCGCTGGGGAACTAGGTCAGTATATCTTATATATAAAATTCTCTTGTCACAATGTTAGTTACCATATTCTGCCGAAACGGCTGGACAGATTTTTATGAAATTATGTGTGCACATCGGGTAGGTCTGAGAATCGGCCAACATCTATTTTTCACACCCCTAAATGACAAGAGTGACCCACTTTTTTTATATTTCCTAGAAATAATGTATAGGGCAAAACAACGTTTGCCTTGTCAGCTAGTATTATGTATAATTATGTCACCCTTGCCGATTTCGGCTACGGTGACTGCTGTCTGTTTATTGGAGGGCTAGATTGATTAGCCCTGTCATGTGCCCTCAGGTGACTGCAGTAGCCAACCTTATGTTTAAATGTACACGTACTTATGCGAAGTGGTCCATGGTCTCGGGTTCGATTTAAGAACCGACCCGGGGTCGGACTAAATATTTGTATTTAATATTATATTATCTTAAAAGCGGACTATACGAGGGGAGGTCCAAAAGTTTGTGGAATAAAAGGGTTTTAAATGAAATGAAACAATCTATTTTTCCTTTTCAATATAATCACCCTTAAGCTGAATAGATTTATTAGATCTATGAATTAATTTTTCTAAACCATCGTAAAAATATTTTTTATCTTTTGCCTCATAATGAGCTAAAGTTGCCTCCTTTACCTCATTGTTGGCGGAAATTTTCCTTCCCCTTAAGTCTTTTTTTTTAATTTGGGGAACAAATAAAAATAACTTGGGGCCAAATCTGGACTGTAGGGTGCTCTTGTGAACCGGCGCGTTGTCTTGCAAAAGCAACACGCCCTTGGCCAATTTTCCTCGACGTTTTTCTTTGATGGCCTCCTGTATTTCTCTAGTATCGTTGCGTATCATTCTTCGGTTATGGTCCTTCCCTTTTTTTTTTGTAATCAATGAGTATTATCCCCTCACAATCCCAAAAAAACAGTAGCCATCAACTTTCCAGCCGACTCTGAAACTTTGAATTTCTTTGGCGGTGGTGTACCCTTTTTATGCCATTGCCCGGACTCTTGTTTGGACTCATACTCAAAGTGATGAACCCATGTTTCATCTCCGGTAACAATCCGCTGCAAAATCTGTGCAGGTCCGTCTCCACACAACTCGAAAATTTTTTTTGACGCGATGTTGTTTCTGAAGCGGCGTGAGCATTCTCGGTACCCATCTTGCATTGACTTTTGTCATGTAGGATTCGCAAAATGGTGGTATCTGATACTACAACTAATGCAGATAACTGTTTTTTCTTCAAACGGGTGTTCTCCAGTACAATTTTTTCTACTTTTTCGACGAACCACCACATCAGAGGTGGCCTCAACTGGCCTTCCTGAGCGGGGGTCGTCTATAGTGCATATTTCATTTTGATTTGAGTACTCTCAACACAGGAAAATCTTCTAGAGATTCTAAGTTACTACAGTAACTAACAATCTCTCTGAAGTTTTTAAAGTGAAAACTTCTTTAGGCGCTTTGGGCATTTTTGAACAACAAAATCATGTATTTTTTGACATGGAAAAACCATTGACCTCGCTACACTGTTGACGTTATAACACATCTCTTTATAAAAGTATCTACTAATATATTGGCCCCGTTTACACAAGAGTTGAGTTTGGGTTGAAATACATTGATAATATAACTATATATAATATAAACATATATTGTGTATATATGTACAACATAGATATATATTCATGTCGTTACTTTTCTAATCGAAAAAAGAAAAACACAAACATTCCTGTTTTATCCTCACATTTCAAGTTTTCACTTCTGTCTGTTTCACTCCCGGAGTACCACTGTTTTTTTTTTAAACTTTAAGCCCCGTAAACTTCTAGCAGTGTATAAAGGCACCCACGACTACTTACGTGAGCTTCGTCTGCTTTATTAAAAACGTTTTACGTTTCAGGCATCGCAGTATGTAACGTGCCAGGATACGGTGTGGAGGAGGTAGCCGACACGACAATGTGTCTCATATTGAATTTATATCGGCGGACGTACTGGCTCGCCAACATGGTGCGGGAAGGGAAAAAGTTCACAGGTAAACCAATATATAACTTACACGGTGTTATAAAAAAGGGGTTGTCCGTGTAGTGACGGATTAAGAATACGGAATGTCATCCCGTGGGTGTAGTAAGAGCCGACTAAGGGCGCAAAACAACGCAGGACACCAGCACTGCAAAAAGAAGGAAAACTTGACACAAACCCTATACCAACCCGTCTGGCCAGCGTGGTATAGTAGGCCAAAACCTCCTTTCTAAGGAGAGGCCTATGTCCAGCAGTGGACTATTAAAGGCTGCTGATGTGATGTGAAAAAAGGGGTTGTCTAATATCGGCGTTATGCGTAATCCAGATATACATAGTTTAATTTGACTGCCTCGGTGGTGCTGTGGTAGTGTATTGTAGGTATGGGATTCGATTTGGGAACCTACCCAGGGGCCGGAAATAATGTTTGTTTTTAATATAATATATCGTCGGCTTATTGCAAGAAGTCATTATGTGACATATTCATTATTTAGGGAAAACGGCATTTTAGTTGGAGTTAGTTTAGTGGTTATGTTAACGTATTTAGTGATTTTTTGCAGTTAATGAGTTTTTGCAATAAGCCGACGATATATTAAAAATCGATGTATATTTTTATATTTTTGATTTGATTCCTAATTATGAATTGACTCTGTCATCTAAATGGAACCCTCGGAATTCGTAGATCTTATTGGACCCACCACCTTAATGGAGCCATATAAACTTGAGAATCCTATTGGACTCCTAAATGGAACTACTTAACAACAGTCCTGTTACGGGTTGTTGGAGTACTTAGGTTGTGCAGATCTCATGTCACTCGCTCTGCATAAAAAAATCGCTAGTTTTAGAAAAAGGCTCGGAGGATGGGTATCGTTTTACTTATTTAGTTATCCTAAAGTGAACAGTAAACAATAATATCGAACCAGTCTGTATTCAATGTTTTACGATGATCGGTTTAAACGGCAGTAGTTCAGGCGTGAAAGCTTAATAAGCAAACAAACTTAATTTTACGACTGTATTATAATTTCATTTCGGATATTATTGTTAATTTATTTTTCGCTGTTATAATTAAACTTTTTTAAGACAAGAACTGTATTATTTCGCCTATATTTTTTATTGAAACTCTAATAAATTATAAAAAAATATTGCAAAAGGTGGCTTTTGCAATATTTTTATTTACAGAGTCAATAAAAAAAAATATCACAAGCATTTTCTTCCATGAAAACCTTTGAGTGTATATTTGAAACTAGCAAGATATAAGACAGTTAACGTGTAACAGAAAATAATGTGTGCGAATGAACAATAACCGTGTGCGCGTGTGTGCCAGGGCCGGAGCAGGTGCGCGAGGCGGCGACGGGGTGCGCGCGCATCCGCGGCGATACGCTGGGCATCGTGGGGCTCGGCCGCATCGGCTCCGCCGTCGCACTTCGCGCGAAGGCTTTCGGCTTCAACGTCATCTTCTACGACCCCTACCTGCCAGACGGCATCGAGAAGTCGCTCGGCCTCACCAGGGTCTACACGCTTCAGGTAATGCTGTTCATATTTATTATTATACACACTGCACGGATGGCGTAGTGGTTTAAGCGGTCGCCGCCACTTCCTGCAACGCCGAGTGTTGTGGGTTCAAACCCCACATGGGACGACACGTTGTGTGATCCACAAATTGTTGTTCTGAGTCTGGGTGTTCCTTGTGTCCGTCTTCTAAGGATACATAAGGATGTGCGGATGATTTATATTGCTATTTGACTGCACGGATTGAGTACTGGTTAAAGCGGTCGCCACGCCGCTTACTACTACGCTGAGTATTGTGGGTTCGATCCCCACATGGGACGACACTGTGTGATCCGCAAAGTGCGGGAGTTGTCCTTCAAAGAGAAAAAGAGAGAAAAAGATATAAAGATATAAATATAAAGATATTATTTTAGATATTTCTACAGCCAGGAAAGCCTTGGGTCGGCACATTAGGGCCAGAAAACGAGTGTTAAACAATACATTCACTAAGTGAGTGAGGCTGCCTCCCAACCCCACCTAACTCTAGGGAGAGGAGTGCTCAAAGGGCGCAACACACTTATGTCAGTCTCTTGAGGGGCAAGTGTCCATGGGCGAAGGTAGTCACTTACCATCAGGTGACACGTGACTACTACTACTCGCGAAAAGGAGTTGTTGAACACAATATATACACATACCTATTTCTGACTATTTTTTAAAAGTATTTTCGTTTAAAAAAAGAAACGAACATTCAGCAGACATGTGTCGGCCTGTTGGTCTAGTGGTTAATGACCCTGACTGCTAAGCCAGAGGTCGTGGGTTTGATTCCCACCCAGGACAAGTAATTGTGTGATGAGCACTGTCATTTGTGTCTGGGTGTAATTTATCTATAATATGTATGTATTTAGAATATATAAGTATGTTTATCAGCAGTTTGGTTACTACAGTACAGACTCTGACTAGTGTGGGATCAGACGGCCGTGGGTAAGATGTGTGAGATATATCATTATTATTATAATCAGTTTATGTTTTAACATAAACTGCATACTACAAATCGCACCTTTAATAATAAACTGAATTAATTCAAAATTTACGTTTTTCGAGTTTTCAACAAATACCAAATCAACTTCATCAGTAGAATACGAACAATCCAACAGCCGACTCGATACCATGAAAATGGCAGAGATAAGAGATCGTCGTTCTCTTTTTGACGAACTCGCACGTACATGAATGTCAAACTTTAAATGCGATTTCCCACAATATTGAAATTCTAAGTTAATTCAGTTTATGAATAAAGGTGCGAAATTATCTTCAATATTACTATAATTTTCTTCTCTACATATTATATACCATAAAAACTGAAGTGAAGTATAACAATAATGTTTGTATTCCTTCCAGGACCTCCTATTCCAGAGTGATTGTGTCTCATTGCATTGCAGCTTAAACGAACACAACCACCACCTCATCAATGAGTTCACTATCAAACAGATGCGTCCAGGTAACAAATTTAACTTATACGAGTGTAACTGAACTTCTGCGTAACCGAATTTAACTTAAACGAGTGTGTGTGAGTGTAGTACTGTTAACTTCTGTCATGTATCACACAGATCAAAGATGTATCAAAGCTACAAACTTAAATTAGCTGCTTAAATAAACTTAAATTAATTATTATTATTAACTTAATTTAATTGCTTATTAACTATTCACATTGCTCATCCCACAGAAACACTACAATTTTTGGGATAAAAGTAGCTTGTGTTATGGTGTCAGCTACCTCCATACTAAAAATTTATCAAAATTGGTCCATTAACAAAATAATATGCACACAAACTTTACTCTTCATAATATTGTGTGAAAATATTTAAACCACAATTTGTAGTTTAATGCGCATATTTCTTTACTTATCCGAATGTAGATCAAGGAACATCAAGGATCTGATGAAGGCACATTGATATCCCTTAAATACTAACAGTTAGGTTATAATAGGCGAAGTCAGGACCTAGTCCTGGTTGACGTTAGAAAGTTGTATGCAAACTGCATCTAGGCTCCAGTATTGAGTGTGTCGGTCGTGTTGCAGGCGCGTTCCTGGTGAACACGGCCCGCGGCGGGCTGGTGGACGACGAGGGGCTCGCCGCCGCGCTCAAGCAGGGCCGCATCCGCGCCGCCGCGCTCGACGTGCACGAGAACGAGCCCTTCAACGTATTCCAGGTAATGGGACGCATATTATACGATACGATAATACACTATTCGCGTTAAGAAAATAGTGACGCATCGATCAACCTCCGTACCATGACCAATCATGTGCAAACTTTTGTACGAAACGATCATTTTTGGTACCTGATTGGTCACATTTTTGGTACACGATTGGCGACACTATTTTATTAACGCGTAATATAATAGAAAAACATACACGTCGGACACTTAGTCTGCACTTCTTAATATAAAATTTTTAAACTTTAAAATAAATAAAGTTACTCACCAAATTTTTGAAAATTTCCAACAGAGTTTTCTTTTGAATAGAAAGTAAAATTACATATAAATGTATATTTTAACGACATTTAATATCACATCAACAGCCTTTGGACTGGACGTGGACTATTCCACAGCTGGACAGAAGTCTTTCCTTAGGAAGGAGGATTTACTAAGTCAAGTTGGTCAGATGGATTGATATGGTTTGTTTCAAATGTTTCTTTCTACACAGTGTTGTTGTGATGCAGAGTTTGCTTCCTTAGTCGGTTCTTACGACATCTATGGAATGAATACATTCCATATTCTTCATACGTCACCGTCAGGGAGCAAACTACGCAGGACATCACCACAAGGAGAAGGAAAATTTTATATAAACCTAATACCAACCTGTCTGGTCAGTGTGGTATAGTAGGCCAAATTTTCTTTCTAAGGAGAGGCCTATTCTATTTCCAGCAGTTTACTGTTGGAAGTTGATGATGATATTATTATATAAACTGAAGGAAGGGCAGGTACTTAAAATCACTCAGCTACTGATTCGATACAAACTATTGAATCATGACGTGAGAGCAGTAAGGTCCAAGGGATTTGACAAGGCGTTCCTCGTTCCAGGGCCCGCTGAAGGAGGCGCCCAACGTGCTGTGCACGCCGCACGCCGCCTTCTACTCGGACGCGTCGGCGCAGGAGCTGCGCGAGATGGCGGCGTCGGAGATCCGGCGCGCCATCGTGGGCCGCATCCCCGACTGCCTGCGCAACTGCGTCAACAAGGACTACTTCCTGCAGGGCGCGGCGCCGCTGGCCACGCCGGCGCCGCTGTCCACGCCCGCGCCTGCGCCGTACGCCGAGACGCTGAACGGCGGCTACTACGCGGCGCAGGCGGCGCACTCCACCACTGCGCACGCGCACGACGCGCCCGCGCTGCAGCCGCCGCCGCCCGCGCCCGCGCCGCCGCAGCCGCCCATCTCGCTGCCGCTCGCCAGCGCCGACCCCGCCAACCACCAGCTCGGCAAGCAGGAGGCCGGCGACGTGCACTAGCCGGGGGGGCGGGGGCCCGACGCACCACGCAACAAACAATAGTTTTATTGATTCCATCGCATTATGTCATAAGTACCTATCGAGTAAGCCGACGAGTGATATATTATGTAGTCGCGCCGTTCGCCCCCGGCCGTGGTGCGTCGCGCTAGAGATTTCTAGTTAAAAATGATTTTATTTCTCCCTCGTCGCCCGACGCGCCGGACTCGACCCCGCGACGAGTCCGAGCTCACTCGAGCGAGCGGCGAACGAGTCGCAGAGTACGGAGTTTGCTATTTACGTTTACGTTGACCGGAGGTTAAACCGAAGACTCCGTTCCCGGCCGCTCTCCGCGGCGATCACTGTTAACGGTATGTACGGGCGACGAAAAATATTTTCTAAAATCTGTTATTTCTTTCCTATACCGTTTTACGAAAAACTAACTCCTAAATATTCTCTAGAAGCGTACGTACCACCATCTGGATGCGAACGTCGCGAATTATGAGCGAATAGTTGATTCTGTGTTTGTATTTGGTAAGTTGGGACAGCTATATATAAATACTGTACTGGTATAATGCGCGTAACGATCGCGGGCCGCCGCGTGTATGTGAGAGTGTACTTGTACGTATAAATAATGCGATAAATAAGTGTGACCGTACAACAGCCGAATGTGTTAAAACTTTTTTTGCTCAAAGATTTAACAAGTGACGCTTGGCGGCATCGTTTGTGATGGACGAACGGTGATGTGGTGACCGAAATGTTTAGTGATGTTTGTCCATCGCTACATATATATATATCTGTAAGTTAGATTGAATCGCGCGTTTGTAAGTACATTATAGTAATTAAGGGGCAACAGTGAGTCGAACGTTCGAGTTTTTTTTTGTCAACATTCTGTTGTATGCGACGCGGACCAAATTGTACGGCTTCGCTTGCCCTCGTGACCTCGGAATGAAATCATTTATTCTGGGCAAACGTGTACAAATAGGTGAACGCTAGAATGATTGTGTACTGTTAGTATTGAGTGCATTACAAATCCGCTTGTAATTATCGCGTTATTCAGACGTATTCGTAGGTGTGTTTATAAAGCGCTAAAGTATATAGAGTACCGGCAGACGTTCGATGCATGGCCCCGCCGATCTGTTCGCATTTGATCGCATTTGTGTACCGACACCCCGTCAGGGTCAGCCGAGCGCATGCATTCGAACTGTTATTTTTAAGTAATCAACAAAAGGACTGTAGAATTCTATCATCACACTTTATTAACGAGAAAACGGACGTATTCGTTTCTTTTTTACTTTGACAATGTACAAAATCATGCTTTCATTTGAATATTTTTTTAGAATAAATTTTAAGTGAGAAATTTGTACATGACCATGAAAGAACACCATGCTATAAAATTAGGAACCGAAACGCAATAGAGGGGCCCAGCCCCGGCCCGGCACCCCGTTTGAAAATCGTGACAATTGGTATTTAAAAATTAGTATTTACTTACAGTTTAGTTTAATGACAAAAAACAATGTGTATATTTTATGAGAAAGTGAAAGTTCTTAAATAAAACTATTGTTTTCGGATTAATTACTTAGGGTGTTTTATTTATCAATCTTATTTTACCCCCATTAAAATCAGTCTTGTTTATATCGATTTCCTAACTACATTATAAATAAACATAAGTACAGAGGTAAACTTTGACTGCCCTTCAACATTTGTTATAACTTCTTATTTCTAGTAGAAACTTTGTATATTTTCATGAGGTACAAAACAATTTACGACAACTGCATCATATTTAACATTTGCAGTTTTCAGTCGAAAAATGTTTCACAGAAATGTATAACATTTCATGCAGTTTTAAGATCATTAATTAATTAATTGGCACATTATTTTACTAAAATAAAGAACATACTAGGATAGACATAATGCGTAAGTACACGAATTTTATACATACATAAAATAATATTATAATCATACATTTTTACACTACATTCCGCAACAGCATACAGCCTGGATTTAGTTGAAAACCTATTTAGTTTGCTGTCAAACTAGCCGCCACGAAACTTAACCAATAATACTTAAATCTAATAAATTTCAAAATCTAATTAGTAGTCAATAAAAGATGTTCGTTAGGCAGATTAAATAAAAAAACATGGAATACAATGTTGAATTTGTAAAATGTTGAATTCGCAAAATTTTTAATCCCAAAAGGTTCAATTCGTATCAAGTTGAATTTTCTGTAACCAGTATTAAATTTTCAAAATTCAACATGGTTCTAATAACAAAATTCAACATCCTAAAATGTTGAGTCCTGTGGATGCGAGAAGTGCAGGACCTGTCGCGGTGGAGATATTGGGATTAAATATAATGACCACAAAACATTATTTGCAGCCCTAAACAAAGATAGTCTAAAATAGGGTATTTGACACCTTAACTACTCTACTACCTTATCATCTGTGAAAATTTTTGTATGAAAAATGTACTAAATTGAAACTTGTAACGTAACTATTTAAGACGACTCAATTGAAGAATATAATTTCAATTTATTAATTGATTTAAATTCGTAATAGTTTTAAAAAATCTAGAATGATAATCATATTTCCCAAGACGGTTTTTTTTGGTTTATGTCAGAGGGGGCAGACGAGCAGACGGGTCACCTGATGGAAAGTGACCATCGCTGACCATGAACGTCTGCAACTCAAGATGTGACTCGCTATGTTATGTGATATGTTTTAATGAAGCAGATAAAGAACTTATTAATGGATGGATTATTGTTGCTTCAATAACGCAATGGCACTATTCCTGTCTCGATAAAATAACTAAAATTTAAACATTTTGCAAATTCAACATTGTGGTCCGGATGGGAAATTCAATTCAACATTTTGCAATTTAAGATTTTGAGAATTCAACTTTGTAGAATGTTAAGTAAATGAGCTACTTTAATAGGGTCGCATAGTTTCATGTCAAATGATTTGAGCAATGAGAGCGGTGAAAGCACGCTCCCGACTTCCTGTCACACACTGCCCCACATTACAGAAGAGCGGACAAGATGTTACACATTAAAAAATAAATAATAGTTTAAAAAAACTAAAAAAACACGCTTTTATAGAAAATCCAACTAAAAAACAGAAAATAAAGTTTAATAAATTTGGATTAAGAATAGTGTAAATTTGATTAAGTTTGATTAAGTACAGTGTAAAAAAAATGAATGTACATTACAGTAAAAAAGCGTGGGGTGCATCTGAAGTGCTTTTTATGATATTATCAGTGATGATTTTTCTACTCATCTGACAATAAATGTTTATAACTATTGACACTATGCACCCCACGCTTTTTTACAATAATGTACCTTCATTTTTTTTTTACACTGTACTTAATCAAACTTAATCAAATTTACACTATTCTTAATCCAAATTTATTAAACTTTATTTTCTGTTTTTTAGTTGGATTTTCTATAAAAGCGTGTTTTTTTAGTTTTTTCAAACTATTATTTATTTTTCATTTTTTAGTTAAATTTTTTAAACTAAAAATTACTTATTTATCATTACATCAATTTACTACTAAAGTGAGACTAAGTAAAGAGAAAGAGTAAGTCTGGAACTGCACGCATGCGTAGTTCGCGCACTAGCTCTGTCTCTCTTACTCGCATGCAAAGGATGCGGAAAGAAATTAATTAATCCTGGCGAATCTAATTAGGATGATCGGATATTTTGATCGGATTATTGCATTGTCATCGACCTTTAACAGGTGTGCAAAGTTTGGGCAAAATCGAGCTCGAAGGAGTCGGTTACATACAAACAAACAAACAAACATACAGGTGAAGCTAATAAAAGCGTGTTAAAAAGATATTTAAACAATATACAAATAACCTTGTAGAATAGGTATACCAAGCCAAAAAAGAGAAAAGCTGCCATTTATGTGAGCTGCAAATTGTTTTGATAAATGGACGTGATGGGTTATCTAGGTATAGTAATGGTATTCTTGTTTTTGAATTTTGTATCACTCAGAATAGGCGACATTTGCATGAAAGCAGCAAACTAATGAAGTTTCGTGACGAAAAGTTCTTGAGCACACTTAAACCAACATACGTAAGTATTATATTTTTTGGTACTAACTGAGTTGACCAAGTTTTAATCGAAATAATGTATGAAAAAGGTAGCATATATGTTGTTACCGCGCCGACATTTTCCTTTCAGTACAACATTAAACTTCAACATACATATATTAATCAGTTCACCGTTTATTACTATAACAGCTCCTCTCTGTTTAGTAATATCACGTCTTCGTCTTTGAATTTTACATATATTTTTAATTCATGAAGAAACCGAAATTAACTAACTTTCTCTTTCTGCGATCCAAATAAATTCACAGTATAGGTATATTAGACAAAGTCAAACCATATTTCAGATACCTTGTTACATACTAGCGGCAATAAAATAATTGCGTACCTACAAAAATAAATTACGCGCCATTTTCAGTTGGATATCTAACTATAGACAAATTATTGTTTTTGTGACTCTGGCGACGAAGGGGTCACGACCTTCAGCCTTCTCGCCTCGTCCGCGTCTAGGGCTCGCTTCATTTCGTAGTATTTCTGTTTGAACGATTGTAGGTCACCATTAACACGGTCGAGTTCAAGTCTTAGATCTGTTACTTGTTTTTCACGCATGCTTAGCTCTGAAACAAAGCATATAAAAAAAGTTTCTAACAAGCACCATTTGTCTCTGGATCTTACAAAAACTTGTGTGCCAGTGTACTACGGCGGCAGTGATTCCAATGCTTTTTCAAAGAATATGTAATAAAATAGTTGTAGGTCAAATCTATCTCTCCATATTTGTTTTTTTTAACAAGTTGTTCAAAAAAAATTAATTTGCCAGCAAGTATGTTATGTAGCCAAAGACATACCTCGATTTTCTCTATTTATAGTCATAAAACATAAGAAATGTTAAGAAGTACTTAATTAGGTTGCATACAATGCTAAAGTGTACAAAATTACTTGTGTGTAGAATAATTACAAAGAGAAAGACAACATACCAGCTATCAAACATTTCATCTTGGTCGTGCGTTGTGTGAGCGCGCGTTGTGTTCTTGTTAAAGTAATCTGAAAAAAGAAAGGGAGTAGGTTACCTATTTTAGCAGTATTGTAGCTGATAACAGTAATGTTATTAGCTAAAATACTGCAATAAAAAAAAGTCAGGATGTCCACAAACCGTTCCCTATTTAAAAAGAAACAACGTCCTTCTGTATATGATATGTATATGTGTGAGTGTTTATATGTGTATAGTGTGTGTATCATGTGTTATGTTGTGTAGTGTATATCTTAGTAATTAGTGTTATAACCTATATGCGCCTACCACTCACGATTTCTACACTACCTAAAGGTTGACTGGGAGAGAAGGCCTTGGGCATTAAGTCCGCCGATGTACAAATGTGCATAAAGTTATAAATAAGTAATGTAGTGTACCTATATTCAGCTTTGTTTATTAACCGACTGCAAAAAAAGAGAAGGTTCTCCAAACGGCTATTTTTTTGTATGTTAGATATATATCTATACCTATATCAGAACTTCATTGAACCGATTTTATAAAATCATCATCACTATCATGAGCCTTTATCAGTCCACTGCTGGACACAGGCCTCTCCTTAGAAAGTTGGTTTTGGTCTACTATCCCACGCTGACAAGATAGGGTTTGTGTCAAGTGTTCCTTCTTTGCAGTTCTGTTGTTCTGCGTAGTTTGCTCCCTTAGTTGGCTCTTACGACACCCACAAGATAAATAATAGGAGTGACACTCCGTACTCTTAATCCGTCACCACAGGGACAATAAAATCATGTTTTATTTGAAAAAGATACCATACCCTACCTAACCTACCTTTATCCCATAATTTACACCCCTTTTTGTTTTTTTTTTTTTTTTCCGTGCGGAAATCCCCTCGGATACCACCTGTCGGTGGCATGTCGGACTCGAACCGACTAAAACCGCACGCCTTCGCCGGGTACTAATAGCCGGGGAACCAGGTATACCCTAGAAAGGAAGGCCCTGGTGCCCCGACATACCTCGGGTCATCTACAGACGAGTAGACGACCCCCGCCCCGTGTGGGAACCCCATGTAATGTAATGTATAATTTACACCCCTAAGAGTGTAAAGAATTGTTTGCAAAGAATACATAAAATATGGATATATCTGTGTTATTATACTATTAATCTCAATGAACATAATATTCAACCTTGTATAAATACAGTTTTCGATTAAACCGACAGTATGTGATACCTGTATTTCTGGACTAGGCTGCAAAGCAAGCATGTCTTTGACAGCGCTGTACAAGTTCCTGGTTTCTTTCAACTCTCGATCTTTAAGAACCAACATTTCGCTCTGCGCCAGTACTTTTCTGTAAAACACACAGTTTTTTACATGTAACACCGGCAAATTGTAAATACCGTGTCATAGATTATACAAACATCAAAAAAGTCTAAGCAACATGTACGGTTTTGAACATTTGAACGATTTTTACTATTGTAATATACTTATATTTCTTTTGTAAATAATAATTAAAGCAACAACGTAGTATAAAATAAACTTAAAACGAAATTAAACTTCATGTTTTACAAGATTTTTTTTAATTATTTGGTAATTCAATACAAAGTGTAACCGCCTCTGTTGTTTAAAACTTGTCGACTACGATTTCTCATTAAATTTATAAGATTGTTAATCTGATCCTGCGGCAGTCGCTCCCAATGGAATTTTAACAAGTCTCAAGTTGTTGGGTTGTCGACACTCCGTCCAGGTTCTTTAGAATACGTCTCTAGAGCATGTCCAATGCGTGCTTGATGGGATTGAGGTCTGGCGATTGCCAAGTACTCTCTGGTCCTCAGAGCTGTGTGCCAACGCGCATTGTCATGCATTAGCGTGAAATCTGAGCCAAGATTTTGTACAAATGGGTGAGCATAATTCTCAAGGACATATTGAGGCCATGCTAAGTGTTACCTACACCATTTGTTTCGACGAGCGCGATTTCCATGGCGTATTGGTGGGGCCGTACTCATGCAGCCCATTTCTTACGGTTTGGTGGCTAGCAACAACACCGCTTTAGAATTATAGTTTTAAACCTATCTCTGTGGCGGTTAACATGACGTCTTGCAGTCAGTTGTATTTATCGGTCCTGTCGAGCAGTTGTACTCCCTCCACTTAATACAGGGGATCCTGCTGCAGCACCTAGATGCTGCAGCAGGATCCCCTGTATTAAAATAACGATGCCAAAGGCAAATCACGCTCCTATTGACATTAAAATGAAGAGATACCCTGGACTGATTTTTTCCCGCTTGTAGCATTCCTACAGCTCTCTAAATTCCAAGAGCAATTAAATGGCGTCGCTCCATGACATAAAAAATGACTCATCACTCAATCTTCTTCAAAAACTGCATGTCTCAAAATTATAAAAGTGAGATAAATACCAAATTTATCCAAGATAGCCAAGATACCGAGAAGCTTTAGGAATAAAGAAATCTTTTTTAAAAATAAAAAAAAGTTTTTTTATAAAATCTAAAAATAACACCGTAAAATTATAAAAACGATAAAGTCGTGTAACTTCCTTAAGTTGCTATCTTATGTAACTTATAGATAAGTTACATAGGATTGATCAAAGCTTATTTTATTAAATTATTATCTAAAATGATTAGACAGTTTTATATGCATAACAAACTCATGTCACTGAGTTTTTTTGGATGCAGACGCTGAAAAAGCACGTCCGTGTTCAATCGACTTAAACACGATTGGTATTTATCTAAAATAAATTTTAAAAACATCTGTTTTTGTGTTTGCAAATCTCTTAAATCCCCCGATCTGTGGGCACCAATCGCAGCACCGTTATTCTTTCTTGCTTTTCACCGAGTGATTGATTTTACCAGAACATAAACCCGGGGAAATGAAGGCTGGGCTCTCTGAATCCTACTCAAAGGGTGGCAATGCACTTGTAAGTCTTGAGCTGCAGGTGTCCATGGGCGATGTCACTTACCATCAGGTGACCCGTCTGTTCGTTTGCCCCTCCTTAGAAATTGATGGTTTTTATGGTATAGGAAAAAAAAAACGTTTTTTACGGCTTACGCCTTTCGGGAGTGAAGTGATGTGAAAATGAAATGGATGTTAAACTACCAGGCAAACTCTTTAATAAATAAGAAGGTGGTAATTAGGTTTTTCTAACTTATATTAATTAGAAACCGGCCCATCCAAAATCAAGATCAAGAATTTTTATTTCTTAATAAAAAATAACTTTAAAATGTATAATTTATGATGATTTAGGCACATTCAAGTCTCAACAACTTTTAACAAGATTAATGTAACATTAAATAGGTATTATCTATAGCCTGTATTTTAATCCCAGACCAAATTGACATATGCAAATATCTAATTTAGAAATAATGATACCGGTGTGATGTACTACGATACCGGTTTTGTTAATTCGTAACTGTTTATCTGTATTCGACGATTAGTTAATCGTGCAACAAATGTTTAAAGGTTATCATCTTAATTTTATAATAAATTGAGAAGAGAAAGAAGGTAAGCAAAAACAAATAATCGTTTTAAACGTTGTAAACACACACACACACACACAGGTTCCTTAACACTTAATATACTTAAGAAAATATTAAAACATTGGTTACCAATAAAAATGCGGAAAATACTATAGAGAACCACTAGCTGAAGAACATATTTTTTTAATCAGAGTCAGATAGTAAATACAGGGTGGCGCAATAGAACGTGCATATTTAAAATATTGATTAGAAAATAAATACAAAAGGTATAGTTAAAATAAAACTGAGGTATTATTAAGAAATAACTGAAGTTTATTTTTTAAAAATAACATCGTCTAAATGATGACCCTCTCTACGACGACACTCCTCTAATCGCAAACGGAAGTTATTGAAAACTTTCTTCAGTAATGCTGGTGTAATTGCTGCCATTTCACCACGGATATTCTCCTTGAGCTGATCGTTGTTTTTCGGATTATTACTGTAGACTTTGTTCTTGAGGTATCCCCACAAAAAAAAGTCAGGAGGCGTCACGTCTGGACTACGTGGGGGCCATGGGATATCACCTCTTTTCGAAATCAGTCTGCCAGGGAACATCTGTTTCACAACCGCCATGGAGTCATTTGATGTGTGACAGGTAGCTCCGTCTTGTTGAAACCAAGTCCTAGAATTCACTATTCTTGAATTTTCAAGCTCTGGAGCCAAAAAACCTTCCAACATCGCAACATAGCGTTCGGTATTAACAGTGACGTTTTGCCCCCGCGCATTTTCAAAGAAAAACGGTCCAATTATTCCTCTACCAGAGATTGCTGCCCATACTGTCACTTTAGGACTATGCAGTGGTTTCTGGTGCTTGAGTTTGGGATTCTCACTGTTCCAGTAACGACAATTTTGACGGTTTACGAACCCATTGATATGGAAGTGGGCCTCATCTGAGAAAAGGATATTGTCAAAATTGGAAAATCGATTAAGCATTTCATTAGCAAATGCGAGCCTTGCTCCGAAGTCAGACTCTTTCAATTCTTGTGTTAACTGCAGCTTGTAAGGATGCAGTTTAAGATCCAAGTTTAAAATTCGTTGCAAACTTCGTCGCGATAAGTGTAAGACAGACGATCTCTTACGAGTAGACATTTGTGGATCTCCTCGTACAGACTGCATAACTCTCTCAATATTGTCGTCGGTCCTAGATGTTCTTGGACAACCTTTTGCTTGTGGTTTAAACGTTGAACCAGTCTCTTCAAAACGCTGTACCCATATTTTAATTAAATTAGCACTCGGAGCTTTACTAATTTGCCGTAGTCCATATTCAGAACAATATAAACGCCTAGTAACGATGTATGAACGAGAGTTCTCGTAAAATGCGCGCACGCAAAATGCGCGACGCTTCCCGTCGAAGTGACTCATAGTGACTAAAACTCCATGAGCCCGCCTACCCAACGATGCAGGCTCCCCCCGCCCGCGCACTTTCTACCCCGCGAAAAAAGATGATGCAATATGCACGTTCTATTGCGCCACCCTGTACTTAGGTTATATTGTATGTTATTAAGTTATAAAATATGTATATTTTTTTTTTTTTTTTATAATATTCTACCACATACACACAACGCCATCTAGTCCCAAACTAAGCAGAGCTTGTACTATGGGTACTAGACAACTGATATAAATACATATATACTTTTTTTTTTTTGTAAATACATACTTATTTTACATAGAAACACCCAGACCAAATCAAACATCAAATGTTCATGCACACAAATGTTTGACTTGAGCGGGAATCGAACCCGCGACCTTTGGAATAGCAGTCCGTTACACAAACCACTACGCCATGCGGTCGTCAAATTGTATCGCTGTTGTTTTTCAATAAATAAATAAATAAAATAAAAATATCACTAAAACGGACCGCCATTTTTTTTTTGAATAAAGATCTGTCATTGAATCACTTTTAGATGTGATGGGACTAATGTTAATGTTGAAAGATTAGGTTGTGTAACTAAATTATGTTATCAGATTCCAAAATATTCCAGGAAACACTCCACCGATAGAACCGAATGATCTCCAAACCAATTGGATTGGTGCCCAGCTGATTATGTAACAAATCACCTGGAGAGATGTCTCATGCAACAACCCTTACTCGAGCTCACAGATTTCCTCGGAGAACTCACGAAAAACTTTCTGATAAACTACAGGTCATTCTAGTACAAAATCTGAGCGCAGAAGTTTTATTATGGTTTGTTGGTTCATCAACAGCCTTTAATAGTTCACTGCTGGACATAGGCCTCTCCTTAGAAAGGAGATTTTGGCCTACCATTGGTTTGTTGGTTGAGTCTCGTACACCTATGCCGAAATTCGATGGTGAGGATTGTCGTATACCTAGATCATAATAGGTATCTCTTAAATTTTGTGTATCAATAAAATATAGATTTCTAATATTACGTTTTACAATTTATATCTACATTAACAACAAATACATTTTTCAATTACATCTGCTATCTATTGTTGTAATTTTAATTTAAGTAATTAAAAATAATTGTTTCATATTATATATAAACATCGGTACCTTATTAATTTTGTATTATTAAATAAGTACCTACACATTTTTTCAGGATAATTTAGTAAAAAAATATGAAAATTTGATTTTATTAACGTCAATCTCCGAGTGGCACACTACTTTTAAGAATAAATTGCAAAAACGTAGCAACCCACGTACCTAATGTCAATTTAGTCTAGGATTATAAAATACAGGCCATAATGAGTCTTGATGATTTATGTCTTTCATTACGCAATTTTAATCTGTCAATGAAATATTTTTTACAAGCGACCAGAGACAAAGAAAATCCGGTCATTGAAACTTTTTACGACGATCTCAATGTTCAGTAATTTAATGTAATGACACTCTTTTTTTAAAGAACTTATAAAGATGATTTACAAGTCATTAAAATGACAAGAATACCTAATGTTTAATTCATTTTATCTAATAAGAATAATAAAGACTTGATTAACAAAACTGCTATTTTACTTAATAGCTAAAAATAATTATTATCCTTGCAGATTTTATTTTATTTTAATTAGATAGTATGATGGCTTTGTCATTTTCATCAACCAATCATGTGTAGGGATGACGAAGCTTGTCTTACAACATATTTTATCTTTTAATAATTTTACTAAGGCTCCTGAGAGTCGCTTAAGCTAATTTTAGTGAAACATCAATAAAAAATCACTTGATCTAAGTACTTATTTATAGAACAATGTTTAATTTTCGATTTTGTGTGACTGAAACAAATTAAGTACTAGGTTAGGTTGTTGTAATCTACATAAGAATTGCTGATTGTTAAGTTCCGTAAAAAAATAAACGTTTAAGTCGAGACTGTTTAATTAACAGTAATTAGTTGCAGATTTTATTCAGTCTCTAGGAATACAATACATTAAGACAGATCGGTTTAGACGCCGGCCATAGCACTAAGTGAGTCACACGGTAAACAATATTACATAATATCTATATAAATAAAAATCAATGTTAGTATGTTCGCCCTCTATGCGTTCCGAAACTATTCACCACATTGTGATGAAACATTGGCACGGTTGTCTATGGACGCTCTAGAGTTCCTTGTCCACAAAATCTACCTATATATGTAAATGTTTTTTTTTTTTGGTTATTTCTTCATACTTCACGTGGCATTGGAAACGTGCCGGGTACTACTAGTATTATATAAAAGCTGGGAGAGCTGTACTTCGGTACACAATGGGCAGGATCGGCCGAAGTCAGCACAGTAATCCTAGTATTGAACAATTCCTTCAATGCTTTTCACAAAAATGATATATAACGGTACCCTGACTGGGTTACCGCAGAGCCCAAACCTCCCCCTACCCCTGATTTTAAAGGTGGGGGACTCAACGGTTGATATCGCACCTGTGACTCAGTTGCAGGTGTCTATGGGCGGTGGTAGTCAGGTGACCGGTGCTCGTTTGCCTCCTTTGCCATTGAACAAAAAGACTAGTGACGGTGAACCCGGTCTTCTTATGAATAAATTTATTACCATTTAGTAAGCAGAGAGTATAGTACCCACTTTTGCGTGAGACGCAGCTTCTGCGTGAGCCGCACGCTCTCAGGGTCGGTGCCCTGCAGCTTGCGCCAGCGGTGCACGTTGAGGGGAGTCTCCAGAGCTTCCTCGAGGGCACGCACGCGCAGACGCTCGCGCCCTAGTTCGCGCTCCAAGTTGAACACCTGTAAATGTACAGGAAAACTTATTTGTCACACTTAGTCAGTACTAAAATAGCAAGATATTAAAATTAATAAAAAAAAATCGGACGATTTTTTTTATCGACCAGCTTAGCCGTAGTGTCGTATGGCTAAAATACTTTCTCAATGTAAAAGCAGTCACAGCATTATATAATGCTTTAGTTAGGAGCCAATTGGAATGTACTGCATATATCTGGACTCCGCCATTAGACTAAATACAGTCTTATGTTGAGTTATGTTAAGTTTATTAGATTTATTTACATGAAGCCGTGCGGGGTTTATCCTTTTTATACATTAATGTATCCTACCCTGTTTATATTAGGTATGATCGGATGATATACCTAATAACTGAGGGTCAGGAGGGAACTCAGACTCGTAACCTATATGTTTAAGGTGATTAGAGGGAGGATACATAATGCAGATGTATTGGAGAGGGTGGGTCTGAGTCCCGGACTGCTACGCGGGACGTCGGCGACTGGACTTCTGGCGGTGCCGTGCGCACGCCGAACTTTGCAAGGCAGTTGACGCGCGCGCTGCGCACACAACCTCATAGCTGACGATGTGGATATATTTTATTGCGCTCTGAGTGAATTTACAATTATAGCACTGGTGTAATTTGTTATTGTAATTTACAAATGATATAACTACAATATCGAATTGACATTAGTATATTAGGATATTGTAAGAAATAAATAACCTTTAGAGCCTAGTCTCGGGCGTGACTAGACCCGACTAGACCGTCAAAAAATAAAACAGTTACAAGCTGGGGTTTCTTCGTACTTTTCTAATTATATTATGTTTTCCTTTAATTGAACTTATAATTTTCCCATTTTACTTCGTGAAGTGCCCGGTTAATATCAAAAGGGGAGTCCCCTTGTGAGGGGTGTTTAATACGGTTCTAATATAGATTGCACGTTATAATAACACTACACTGACTGACACTCATAGTTGGGCACAATTTTTTTCGTGTTCTCAATGTTGACATTCTGCCATGATCTATTAACCGGTAGTTAGTTGGTCAGTCAGTTCATATAATTATTTATGCATTGGATAATCGAAGCAGATAATTAATTTAAATTGTAAGAGTAGTAACACATCAATCACTTTTGAGTGAAGGTAAATGACGATCGAATATAAAAATAATGCATATGTAATTTGCCTGTCACCTTGTGCAAAGTATAATGTACAAGCGTTCCGCCCCGCATTCGCACGGGTGCAACGTAGTTACTACTTCTAATGTGGTGTCAGTGTGGAGTAATTAATTATACTATTATTATGATTAGACTATACTACAATTATTTTCACTATACTACTTTTTTTTTCTGTGCGGAAATCCCCTCGGATATCACCCACCGGTGGGGTGATTATGTCGGGCTCGAACCGACCAAAAATCCCACGCCGTCTCGGGTACCAGTAGCCGGGGAACCAGGTGTACCCTGGAAAGGAAATCCCTGGTAACCCGATGTACCTCGGGCCATCTTTAAAAAGTTCGACAACTGTCTATCGTAGAGGCTGTGTAGTACTGTAAGCAGACCCCCAACCTAGGAAAAAGACTGGGAAGTTGAATTTAATTCGTTGTTGTTGAAAAATGAATCTTACCTCCAATCTCAAGTCGGTCATATTTTCAATTCCTTTCGAGAGTAGGTTCTTCTCTTTGCGCAGACGTATGATCTCCAATCGGAGAAGACGAATGTCTTCAACGCGCTGCTCGTATTGGCGCTCACCTGAGGATAAAAAAAACAGTATAAAGGTACAACGACTGGTTGAAATTCGTTATTACTCAAAAACATTGAAAATGGGGTTAATTATGGTAATTGTTCGAAAACTCTCTAAACTTAACTAAAAAGCACTAAAAATCACATGGCCGTGAATGAACATTAACTAAAAATCACTAAAAAAAATTGTGCTCTCAAATATTACGTTTTCAGAATAGGAAACGTTGTTTGACAGAACTGTACAAATTTTTAGTTTAGTTTAGAGAGTTTACGGACAGCAGAATTAGCACCAATATAATACTAAATCTCGTCAACAGCCACTAAACAAAAAAATATATATACAACACTTATTTTTTGTACTGCACTGTATTTTTTTGTCCGTTCATTTAAAGGTTACAGTTAGGTTTATATATGTATGATGTTGTACACTTATGTGTATTTTTATATGTAATCATAATTATCTAATATACAGTGTTCGTGTAGTGACATCACTCTGGTCCATCCCGTGGGTGTCGTAAGAGCCTAAGGGGGCAAACTACGCAGGTCAACAGCACTGCTATGAGAAGGAAGACTTGAAATAAAGCCTATACGTCTGGCTAGTGTTGTATAGTAGGCCAAAACCTCCTTTCTAAGGAGAGGCCTTTATTCAGCAGTGGAGTATTAACAGCTGTTGATGATGATACATATACGTACATATATGTGAAAAAATTCATTGTACCAATTCAATTGCCAGAATATTTTGTCAATAAAGCGAAGGGATTACTTAAAGTGTACGAGGGTGTACACTTAAAAGGGCAAAGTTAAAATTAAAAAAAAAATGTGTTACAGGTTTAAAAATTATGGAAAACGGCTACATTAAGCTCGTTCGGTTCGGTAAAGTCTATGCGATTAAAGTTTTAATTAGGCCAAAGAAATAGGAGAAAAATTAAAACTTCCCATGTTGTATACGTGATCGATTTTTTTAAATCTTCTACAATGTCGAACGTTTAATTATCGCTAATGTAGACTTATGATTGTTACGTGTTTCTTTTTCTAGAAATGTACCTACAGAGACGATTAAATAAAAGTTAAATACATTTTATTGTTTTGAAATGTTCGCCTTTATACGCTAATTATATCGTACGTAAGCATTGTTTACACCTCTAAGCATATTCAAAATTTTCAACATAATCGTAGAATTTTAGTTAATACGTGTAAATCATATTATGTTATACCAAAACTGTATAAAAATTAATAGATATAACTTTAGATAACGGAATTAGGACGTTAAAAAAATTGGTGTGTTAACGTAAAGTAAAACAAATTTTATTTAATTATAAAAGTAATGCATAGACAATTTAAATAGTTAACTGAACTAAAAGCAGAAAATTAATTAAAATAATTTAAAGAGTTTACTTATAAATACAGTACGTGAACTATCTGATTACATAAATGGCAAGGATAGATTTGTAACCTCCATTTTTTTCTATTTTTGCTGTTTTCTTTGTAAATTAAAAACCCAACGTTAAAAAAATTACACATTATTATAATTACCTCCGTCCGTGTGGTGACCGATTAAGAATACGTGTGTCACCACCCCTATTCATCCCGTGGGTGTCGTAAGAGTCGACTAAGGGAGCAAACAACGCAGGTCCACAGTACTGCAAAGAGAAGGAAAACTTGACACAAACCCTATAGCAACCCGTCTGGCCAGCGTGGTATAGTAGGCCAAAACCTCCTTTCTAAGGAGAGTCCTATGTCCAACAGTTGACTATTATAGGCTGTTGATGTGATGTGATAATTAACTCTTTAAAGTTGATGTTAACTACGTTACGGTGGCGTCGAGTGATCCACAGCAAACTTTTACTGCGAGGAAGCGGTCACGACCCTCAGCATTGAGGCAACCGAAGCGAGGAGGAGGAAAGTTGATGTAAACTAAGTTAAAATGAGTTTGTTTCTAAACTTTTATGTTCTTTTAGAACAACAGATTACAATTGTCTGTAATCATTAGCAGTAAATACCGTTTGTATAGACGAAGAGTTTCTACAAAAGACCTGATGATGACGAAAGGAAGAATACCTCTCTGGAGCGTAATCTCCAATATCCTGATCTTTTCATAGAGCAGTGAAATCTCATCGTTTCTTCTAACCAGTTGAGCTCCAACCACATCACGTTCATTCATGAGACCTTCTAACTCCTTGGACAGTTTAGCGCGGGCTGTGTCACCTTCCTGTGATAGAAAGCATGTATGGTGAGCAGCTCTGTAAGAAAGATACCCGATAAAGCGAGTTCTATTTTTTTTCATCTACTCTCGAATCTTTAACTGACGAAAAAACGTAAGAGCCCTGTCTAACGTAATCGTAAAAAACCTTCTAAAGAAAATAAGAATAAACTGCAGTAGAATATACAGAATAACGTTTACACATTCAACTACCATGATTATTTGCACTTGATAAGTTATTGTAAACGGGATGTTTATCATCTTTAGTTTCGGGAATTAGTTTTCGATATTTCGCGACTGTGGATGCACACGGAACAGTTCATCCGTGATCATGGCGCTGGCAATAGACCCGAAATAAAAAATAAAATAATTATGTCGTTTATAATTATAATAACAATAACTTAGCAATAATTTACACAGATTTAGAATTAAAACTAGCTTTTGCCCGCCTAGCCTATGTCTTTCTTCAAGAATCAAAGTATCTCCATACCAAATTTCATCTAAATAGGTTCAGCGGCTATTGATTCCCTATACAAACTTCGACATCCCTTTTCACCCCTTTAGAGGATGATTTCTGGGATAAAACCCCGCTCGTAAAAAGTGCCCAACCCCACTTTGTTATAGACTATTTCCATAACAAAGTCATTTAAATCGGTTCAGTGGTTTAAGCGTGAAAAGGTTACAGATAAACAGACAGACACACTTTCGAATTAATAATATTAGTATGGATTTACAGTGACACTGAAAAGGAACAACGCCTAAGGACCACAAACTGTAGTTTTTTCTGTAAGAACCAGAACATACCTGTACGATTCTGTTAAGTCTAGCTTCTTCCTGCCTTAGCGCTGTGATGTCGGCCCTAGCTTCAGAGAGTTTAGTCAATCCAGCCTGCACTTCAGCGCGTAATTGTTCATTCTTTTTATTGCACTTGGCCAGCATTCCCTCACACGTCTTCAGGCCGACCTCCTTGCCGCTTATATCTTCTTTCAGCTGCTCGATCTGATAGGCTAGCATCTGTTGACAAGGAATTGAAAGTGATATCAAGAACTGTTATTTTTTTATATTTGACATCCAATATGGCGGCCTTAGAGCATTCAACTGCAACGAAAAGGATCGCTTTCAGTTCAGTGTTTTATTCATTCTGGTATAGATTTTTTAATGTACATGAATGTATGTAACTAGATACAAATACATGGAAATAAGTTCGAGTATTTTGACCTTGGCTAAGAATTCGTTATAGCAAGCGATATTTAGTTTGAATATAGAAAGCGTTGTGTAATTTAATAAGAATACTTCATGTTTTTAGATATATATTAAATTCACCCATTTTGCGGTAGGTTAGGTCAAGTCTTGAGCTGGGTTAGTAGCCTGGCTTCTGATCTGGTTTCTGTGGTGCCCTGGGGGCCCGGTTTTTCGGTGGAACGGTGTGCTATATTATGGCTAAATAGAAGAGATATGGGAGCAGAACAGAACATTAAAATTGTGCCAGCAAAAGCGCGGGCACAACCTTCGGGTAAAAAATCTTGTTTAGGCGATTAGCATATTACCCTATACAAACCCCTACAAGAAATGAGATGTTATGAACCTCTCCTGCTGATTGTAGAATGTTTTTCTAATACATCCGCACTAGGAATAAATCCTGTGTCGCGGGGGACTTTATATGTTAGTAACATTTAATATTTCCACAAAATATAAATAAGTTTTCAAGTGATCAAAGTTCGTACCTTTAATTTCTGCTTTAAGTCTTGTATTTCGTCCAGCGCTTCAGTGTAGTTCTTGTGCAGCATGTTCCTCTCGGCTCTGGTGGCGTCCAGCGCGACGGAGAGCTTGCGCGACTTGATCATCTCCTCTCTGTTTGCCTTCTTCAAGTCCAGTATATCTGCCGTTCGGAGGCGAACCTCCTCTGGTGAGGACAACGGAGAGTTACAACTACTTTAGTTGCATACAAACCAATGATTTTCTTTTATGGTATGGGGAGCAATTAAGTAGACGGGTTACTCGATGGGTTACATACAGCTCAAGGGTCACAAGTGCGTTGCCCCCTCTGAATTCCCCTTCACCCCAGAAACAGAGGGAGTGAAAGAATTTCTCAACACTCCGTGGAATCACTCCGGTCGAGCCGGCCCATTTGAGCCAAGGATAACTCTCCCACAGTATGGGCGACGAGTTCTTTTCAACGATTCAACGCGCTAATTTGCAGCCTAATTGTTGGAAATTGCGAATCGTTGAAAGGTTATTGTTGTGTATAAAACTTTTATACTATGTGTGTTATTATATAAGTAAAATTAATAGGAAGAATACCTGATATTTCATCAATTTTTTCGTTAAGAGCGATGGCTTCTTCCAGCGCCCTGAAATAAGGTACTAATGTTATACTTGTATGTTCAAACTTCTTTTACTTATATATTCTTAAAAGACAACTCCCGTATTAAGAATATATCCTGTGTCGCGGGGGACTTTACAAACATACATGAAACGGACACAAAGAACATCCAGACTCGGAACAACAATTTGTGGATCACACAAAGTGTCGTCCGATGTGGGGTTGAACCCACAACACTCGGCGCAGTAGTAAGCGACGTGGCGACCGCTTAAACCACTACGCTATCCGTGCAGTCAATATATAAGTAATAATAAGGACACGCTCAAACGCCAGATCTAAGCCCGTATACAAATAACTAAGTACAGCTTTAACACAACTGGTCAAGATGGAAAGATTTTGTTTTAGGACAAAATCTTTAAAAGCAAATTTGAGTTCGCTAGTCAAAAAACCAAAATCCTTAGCTAAATGTCGGGGAACACATCTTATATTTTTTCCACCCAGCGGTTGCCTGGCAGAGATCGCTAATCGCAATAAGGCCACTCTAATTGTACAACTTCTTTTAGTTTTACTTCCTTTGTGTAACTGTCCCCGGATTATAACTCATACAAATGTATACATACTGTTTTATTACTATGCTTTTTTTCTTGTACAATAAATAGTTATCTATCTATCTATCTATTAAGATGGAGCAAGAAAAAAAATGATAAAATTATGCTTCTCTGGTTGTATTATTCGTGGCTCAGAAAGAAGTCGAAATATAAATATTTTTAGCAATGGGAATCTTTGTTTTTACTTTCAGATATTGTTTAAGTCCGTGTGGTAATACCGTGCCTTGTGGTGGTGACGTATTAAGAAAACGGAGTATCGACACAATGGTTTATTCCGTGGGTGTGGTAAGAGCTGAATAAGGGAGTACCTACGCAGGTCAACCGCACTGTAAAGAGTGGGAAAACTGGAAAACCCTTTTTTTTTTTTTTTTTTTTTTTTTTTTTTTTTACGTGTGGAAATCCCCTCGGACCGTCACCCCTCCGGGGTTTGCGGCGGGGTGGTGTGTCGGACTCGGACCGACTAAAACCACACGGTGTGCCACTCTGCGCCTGTAACAGGAGGGATCCGGGAACAGCTGTTGTTAAGACATCCGGACCCCTCCTAGCGCCAGCCCGCTCCTGGTGCGGGCTCCGTCTCAATATATTTTTTTTTCCCTCTCTTTAGGCGACGTCCGGCACACGCGGACGCCGCCCCCTCGCGGCTGGCCAAAAGATATTTCATCTGGGCCCGAACCGGTACGAGGACCGAGTTGACCACGATTGAGGCGCCAGGGGGTGGACCACGACGGGGCCCATGAAATAACAGGGCCTCCGTCTTATCTAGGGCCACCCGTAAGCCCAGCGCCTCAATGCGCCCGACCACCAGGGAGACCCCCTGTGGCCAGGCGCGCCGCCTCTTGGAAGTTTGCCCCCCGGGCTGTCACCAGTGTATCGTCTGCGTAACAGATTACACCCAGCCCGAGGGGGAAATCGGCGCGAAGGGCCCAGTCGTACCCTATGTTCCACAAGAGGGGTCCAAGAACAGACCCCTGTGGAACACCGCACGACATGGGCCGACACCTCAAATTACCTTCTCGGTCCTCGTACACGACGGTACGCTCCTCTAAATAGTCTGCCACTAGCCGCCTCAGGTACTTTGGCACCCCATGATAGTGGAGTGCTTCCCTGATGCAGCTGAATGGCAGACTATTGAATGCGTTGGCGATGTCAAACTGGAAAACCCTATACCAACCCGTCTGGCCAGCGTGGCATAGTAGGCCAAAACCTCCTTTCTAAGGAGAGACCTTTATCCAGCAGTGGACTAATACAGGCTGTTGATGTGATGTTATTGTTTAGGTAATTATGAGGCAATATTTCATACAAACTTCTACGGAATGACGATTTGTTTTGACAATCTGATGCAGTATTGGAAGGCCTCTGACCTGTCTTTATCTTTTTCAAACTGACGTATCATAAGGCGTTGCTTGTTGATCTGCGCGGCGCTCACGTCCAGCTCGTGCTCCAGCTGCTTCCGCCGCTGCTCCTGTAGGTTCAGCATGTGGAGGTTTTCCAGGGCTTCGTCTGGAATTTAGTAATAAGTACATAATATAGGCTATTTTTGGATGGATGAAGGATTGGGCGGACCGATGGGTGATAAAATGCCGATGCTATGGCATGGCGGAGCCACGGCATTAGCTGTTTCAAAAAAAAAACTTTTACTTTATAAAATGATGGCATTATTATTATTATTATTCATAACAATAAAGCCTTAACTTGAAAGAAGATGATATGTATTTTTAAGATTACTGTCGAGAATCAAACCTCGATCCTCGATATCGCGGTGGGCCGATGCTTTCAACCGGCTGAGCCGCTAGCAAAAGGCGTGCGGCGCAGTTGACGGGGAGGCAGAGAGAAGCGGGGGCGCGGGCGCAACGGCTCCCACCACGATTGCCATTACAGGCAATACTATGTACTCGATCGGGATCACTGCTCTGTACAGCGTACCCCTTGTAGACGTTACAAACCAGCGCAAAATACCTACAGTCCGCTTTTATTTTTCTACTAATACCGAGACCTAAACATTTACCATCTGCAAGGAACTACACATTGCGTGACGCCAATAAATATTCAATATTGGAAATGAGTCCGTGTAGTGACTGATTAAGAATACGGAATGTCACTACCCCAATTCATCCCGTGGGTGTCGTAAGAGGCGACTAAGGGCGCAAAACAACGCTGGACACCAGCACTGCAAAAGGTGGAGAACTTGATACAAACGCTATACCAACCCGTCTGGCCAGCGTGGTATAGTAGGCCAAAACCTCCTTTCTAAGGAGAGGCCTATGTCCAGCAGTGGACTATTAAAAGACTGTTGATGTAATTGGAAATGAAAGCCTTACTCTGAATCTTTTGTAAATTCTTGTTCAGTATATCCTTCTCCCTGTTGAGGTTCTCAATGTCCCTCTTGTCATTCTCAGCTTGTTTCTTGCCGAGTTGCAGGTCGCGCTCCATCACGCTTACTTGCTGTCGGAGGCGATCGCTGGAAGAAGGAAAACACTTTTATGATATTAAGCCTTACTGCCGCTACTGAGATGTCAAATTACATCAGAAAGCTTACTGTTTTTTACACATTTTTTTAAATGACAAGGCTGAAATTTTAATACAAAATTAAACGAAGCCTTGACGCTACTGATCCTGATTGCCGAGCCATAGATAGTTGGTTCAATTCCTTTCCAGGACTTATTGTGTGATGAACACGATAATATGTTCTGTGCCTAGGTGTAATTTACTACAGTCTGATTAATATAACACAGGCACTGCTTCCTTTGCATGCATGCGGAGGGATGAGGAAAATGTGGCGAAGAAAGTTTTAGGTATGGGAGTTGAAGGGTATAAGAGAAGAGGCAGACCGAAGAAAAGGTGGATGGACTGCTTGAGGGAGGATATGGCTAGGAAGAGAGTAAACAGTGAGATGACGCATGACAGAGTAGAATGGAAAAATTATACATACTGCGCCGACCCCAAATAAAATTGGGAAAAGGGTAGGCAGATGATGAGGCACTGCTTCCTTTGGAATCGAACGGTCGTGTGTAAAATGACTAAAGTTACTATAATTATTTTGCAATAAAAAACTGACTTGAATTAAAAAAATGAAAACTGCATGCCAGCCTCGGTAGAAGCACCAAAAAATTACAAATTAAAATTATCATATAATTTCAAAATTAATTAAAAAAAATATTTTATTTAATTCTTCATTAATATTTCAGTCGACAGAAAATGATTGATATTGCTACCGAATAATAATATAATATAACTAAGTAATTACCGATGATTTTTGACCTTAATTTACAATTAATTTAATATATTATTCACCAGCATAACTAAAACTGTAATTGAATATACTTTCCACACAATGATTGGTCAGCGTCTAAACTGGTAATTTCTTGCACAATTGTTTTAAACGTTTGGCTTTCCGCATTTAAAAAAATATTAAGTGTTCCAAATGTTCCATTCGTCTGTATGCAATAGAATTATTAGCGCGTAATTCCGCATAACTTTAACACATGAAACAACATGTAAATATATGGCCATCTTGTTGTTGTTCTTTAGTGGAACTTATGGATCTTTGGAGCGGTGAGGACCTGAAATAACATGGTCCGGGTCCTCCCCAGAGTAGGACACCAGAGGCCGGCCGTCGGGGTGGTTTTTTGTGGAATCACCACATATTCCTGGCTCCTGAGTCCCCGAGGAGCATTTGATCCGAAGGGATTTTCCCCCCCGTCAACAAAAAAAACAGATCTTTGAAGCGGTAGATCTAATGCCAATTTAAAAGAAAAAAAATCTACTCAAAAGAGATTAATAATAAGAACCATTAGTATAATACTAAGTATACAAATCGCTCCTTTAATAATAAACTGAATTAATTCAAAATTTACGTTTTTCGAGTTTTCAACAAATACCAAATCAACTTCATCAGTAGAACACGAACAATCCAACAGCCGACTCGATACCATGAAAATGGCAGAGATAAGAGATCGTCGTTCTCTTTTTGACGAACTCGCACGTACATGAATGTCAAACTTTAAATGCGATTTCCCACAATATTGAAATTCTAAGTTAATTCAGTTTATGAATAAAGGTGCGAAATGTCTGTAGATATTTTTTGTTTGAAGACTTTTTATTTAAATATAGTATACCTATATTCATGACGAAAATTCCTTTTACTCTTTTATTTGTGATGTGATGTGTGAGATATTATTATTGTTATTATATTTTTTAAATTTGACGCAATTAACCACATTAATTTTTTTAATTAATTAATTTTTTTTTAACGTATAATTTTTTTAAATTCTGTTTTTTAATCAATAAAATAAATAAACAATGAATATTTGATTTGTTTTTTTTATTATTATAATAATTCAAAATTTATAAAAGTATTCTATCAACCAATCTAGCTTTCATAGTAGCTTTTCAAAGTTTGAAACTAGATGTCGTTGTGTTCGATGTCCGAAAATATTATTATAATAATAATAAATGTTAATATGTGTAAGTGCACAAAGCTAAACCTTTAAAAAAATATGTTTTATAACATTTAAAAACTGCCGCATAATACTAAAAGTGTCCAGTATATATTTTGACCTGTCTTAGTACCAATGTCGTTGTCGACAGACAAACTGTTGCAGATAAACATCCAGTAGCCGATAACCTAAATTAGAATTAAATTAAGCATATTATAATACACATTCATTGTAAGAAAGTTAACACCAATAAAGGCTGTTTTATTTTGTTTATTAGTACCAATGTCAATACAATGAGAGTTCAGGTTATAGTGGTCATTTAAGTATCGTGTAACATCTTTCCTCTCGTTGCCCTGCAATCAGTGGAAGGGTACTTTCTAGGGTACACCTGGTTAGTCGGTTCGAGTTGTCATAACCACCCCACCGGTTGGCGATGGGTTGAGTCCGAGGGGATTTCCGCACAGAAAAAAAGGGACGGAAATGTGTTAGGGTTCACCGTCAGATAGTGCGAGAGATTTTAGATTACATCACAAGCGATTATTACGATTACAAGACTCATTAAATATAATATAAAATATTAATAATAGAGAGGATCGTGGCTAAGTAGTAATCAAGTAGGTTAACACATTGCAAAGTCAAGCAATCCTAGCTAGGTTAGTCTATGGATGGGTGACCATTACTTACACATTAAGACCCCTCCGTGCATAAGGGAGGATGAGGATGGGAGGCTAAACGTGCTCGAAGGATGTTCGGGTCTCGGTTGCCACACGAACAGTAGTAGAAGCCCTAAAACGTCTTTCTACAGAACTTGGATATCTCCTACAAAGACAAAGAACACATGATCGTGCTCATCACATAATTATTTGTCCCGAGTGGGACTCGAACCTACGACCTGTGGCTTAACGGTCAGTGTCGCCAACCAGACCAACAGGCCAGTCAAGACCATTACCCAATATCTCAGATTATATCATCTTCAGAGACCTTCTGGTGAAATCTCCTGAGTCAAAAGGCTAAAGATAGAGATATAGAGAAAATGCTTTGATCTGCTCAGAATTTAAATTAATAACTATGTACTGAACTAAACGTGGGCCTCAGTTGGTATACCGATGCACTCCAACACGTTAACCAAATTTGTCAAAGCTGTCCGTCATAAATGAACTAGCTTCTGTCCGTGGCTCCGCCCGCGTAAATAGCGGAAATAGTAACATATGTCTTTTTTCAAGAATCAAAGTATCTCCATAACAAATTTCACCTAAATCGGTTCAGCGGTTCTTGATTTCCCAGACAAACTTCCACCATCCTTTGGATCCCCTTAAAGTATGATTTCTGGGATAAAACTACCCTTTGTCCTTTCCCAAGACTCGGACTATCGCTGTACCTTTCATCTAAATCAGTTTAGCGGTTTAAGCGTAAAGAGGTAACAGACAGACAGACAGGCAGTGAATCTGCCTGTCTTTCTGTCTGTCTGTCTGTCTGTTTCGCATTTATAATATTACTATTGATAAATAAATAAATACCTACCGATCATTTTCAATATTAGCTTTATTCCCTTCCAGTAGTTGGTATCGCTTGGTCTGCTGAACAGCTTGCTTCGTCAGCTTGACGATTTCGTTGCGTTGCTTGTTGTTGTCGGATATTGTGTTCTGATATGAAAATAAATTGTTATTATGACTTTATTTTGAAATTTCTATTTCATCATCATCATCAACAGTCTTTAATAGTCCACTGGTGTCCACAGAAAGAAGGTTTTGGCTTATTATACCACGCTGGCCAGACGGGTTATTATAGGGTTTGTGTCAGGTTTTATTTCTCTTTGTATTGCTGTTGTCCAGCATAGTTTGCCCCCTTTGTTGGCTCTTATGACACCTACGGAATGAATAGGGCCGGTGACACTCTGTATTCTTAATCCGTCACCACACAGATAATGTCTATTTACCAATAAAAAATTTAAAAATACCTTGACTTTTGTACTCAAAGACTAATCAAATTAAAGGTGGACAAAAAGGATAATTGTTTACTTAATAACTAAGAGCGACGAGCATATCGTTGTAGGTTTTAGATCTTCAGTATTCGCGAATAGCGCTTGACGGCTCTGGATCGCACGTACGTATAGTCCATTCGCATTAAGAAAATAGTGACGCAGCGGGAATAAAAGTGTATTTATCATGGTGGAGTAAATATTTATACAAACATTTTTTTTTATAGATTTAAGTTGATCTACTTGAATGTAAATGTCCTTTTGAAATTAACAAATAGGATATTAAAGAGTGCGGACATTCTGCGGATGTAAAGAAAAGTTTACAAAGCAAACAAAGAAAGAAAACAAAGAAAACAAAGCTTTATGGTTGTTTGAATAAAATGTAATACTATGAATCACTATTTTATTTAGGCGAAAGGACGATGGCAAAATCAGAATGTCAACCGCCTGTTGAGAAGTTACTCAATTCTGTTTTTTTTTTTAAATCCAAGTTCATGTTATGTTTTGCCTTTTTTTGACGTATAATATCTTTACTCTTGCTTTCGTGAAATCTGTATTCCTGAGAAGGGACGGAAACTAGTGACAGGAACCTGGGAAATGACGTGCTAATTGATTCGACAAACAAAAGCGAGCGCGGCTCGTCTATAGAGTCGGTGCGACTACTGTATGTAACGCACGTATTATTTAAGCGGTCATCTCGTCGCTTCCTATTGCGCCGAGTGTTCGATCTCCACATGGGACAACACTTTGTGTGATCGGATATAGATATAACATAGTTTTATTGTTCACATAGTTAAAAGATCTAGTTTATAACACAACTGTTGTTTTATACACTTCAACCTTAAACACTAAGTTCTGTTTTGTGTACCCACCCTAAGTTCTCTAGTGGTGTTTGAAAGTGTGGTGTTGGTCTTCTCGAACTCGGCCCGTAAGTTATCCAAGTTCTCTCTAAGTTGAGTGGCTTTGTTGATGGCCGCTTCTTGCTCAGCACGAGCGGCGTCCAGTTTCTTGTTCAAATGGGCCAGCTGCTTGTCACGACGCTCTATAGACTTCTCGTTTTTTGCTATCTAAAAACATATAATGTACGTTAAAAGTTAATTAATTTGTATACTATAGAATTTTATAGGGGTCCAAGACGATAAAATTATGAGGTAAACCAGTAGGTAATGTTGAATACAGAAACTCTTTTTTTGGAAGTAAAATACTACACATCATTTTTTGAATTATTAATATAATTATTGTGAACAAGTTACTAACTTATGAAACTGTTGGACTACTTAATATTATAAAGTTTGCTTAGTCAGCTGCTAATTTAGTCTGATAAGTTTATCTGCTTAGGATGTCGATGAAATATGTTGATTCTTCCAGATCTTTGCGTAAAAATAATAACGTAAGAAAAATAATTCGTTTTGTGCTCCGGTAACCTTACTCACAAACAAAGGCTATGCCAACCCGTCCAGCCCGCGTGGTATAGTAGGCCAAAACTTCCTTTCTAAGGTAGAGCCTATGTCCAGCAGTGGACCATTAAAGGCTGTTGATGATGATTAATGAATCTCACTCGATGAAAACATCAACAGAATTACTTAACACCGGTTTTCAGTGAGGCCGTGGTATCACTACGGTTGAACTAGGCCCAAACATGTCAACGCATGGCCCTGCATCATACATAGCTAGTCATTCATCGTCATCAACAGCCTTTAATAGTCCACTGCTGGACATAGGCCTCTCCTTAGAAACGAGGTTTTGGCCTACTATACCACGCTGACTAGACGTGTTGGTTTAGAGTTTGCTTTAAGTTTTCCTTCTCTTTGCAGTGCTGCTGTCCTGCAGAGTTTGCTCCCTTAGTCGGCTCTTACGACACATGAATAGGGGTGGTAATACACTATATTCTTAATCCGTCACCACACGGACAGCTGGTCAATATCTACTCACTTTCTCGTTGAGGCTCTTGATTTTCATGGCCCTGTTATCCACCTCCGCCTTCAGCGTATCCGACTCACCCCTCAGATGCTCCACCAAACGATTCGTCCGTACTGCGTTGTTATCTGCTTCCTGTAAAAAAATATATGTTAGAATAAAACTCATTTACTGAAGCTAAAGAAATAATGATAATCGCACCCATTCGATAAGGTAGTTTTAAATATCAGAATAAATGGTTCTCTCTCTTCTACGGTCACTATTTTAAGCTTTGATCGCCTTAACCTAGCTTTTGACGAATGAATCTGAATCTGTTGTTATCTAGACGTCATATTAGTTAACACTAAACATTCACTTATCTATAAACAGTGATCTTAATTACTATACTCACGATAAACTATTTTAATAATTAATCACAATTTATAATTATCTATTTACACAATGTAACAGCTCTTGTATAAACCTATTATCTATTAATTTAAATAAAATATTATATGTGCTAGACACCTACTGATGTGTTTGAAGTCGGATTGGTGAAAATGAAAAAGTTGTTAAGCTGTTGTTAAGTGTGAAACACGTAGGATGGCGTGGTTCGCATCTATCTCACTGTTAAACATGTTGATGATTATAACAGCAAAATGACCACTACCAATGCAGTGTTAAACCTATGGAGCAAATACAAAGAGGAGCTGTTGTAATTAGATTTCCCTATGAAGCAACGAGTGACTATTTGCGGGGTGAGGGGGTGTTAAGCTCCGCCTACTCCACTTTTCTCCATCTACTAAATAAAAAGCAAAATTACAGTATACTTAATAAAATTAAAATATTTCATTTCAAATTAGGCATCAGAATGCACTGTTGAACAGAAATCTGAGAAAAAAAATTAATGAAAAAATTAACAAACGAAAAATAACCAAAACTTTAAATAACTATCAAATAACTAAGCTGCAACTCTTTTAATTGATCTTCTTCTTCGTCGTGTCAACGGATGAACACCCCTAAATTTTGTCCGCCCAAAATCTACGGCATTGTCTGTTGCTCTCCACAGCTCCTCTACAGTGCAGCTGGAGAGGCTCAGTGGACAAGAAAGCAAATGTGGAATATTAGACATTGGAGATCCACATTCAAAGCGTGTTTGCCACTGGTCTTTGTAGCCCCAATTTGAAATGTTGCTCTAGCAACGACCAACCTGGCCATTGCAGTCAGTGTCCAGGTTTTCTGAAGGTTTGATGAAACCTGCCGGGACGATGTTTAGCTGTCCATATTTAATAGATATCTTGAAGTAAAAATCTACTTTGAATATTGTACATAGAGTATTTACCTTCAAGAAGAGTTTATTTTATGAGGTAAAACTCATAAATAAGCATTTCTTGAGTTGACTTTTATGAAATGCTAAACATATTCAAATTTATAATACACATAATTTAAACATTTCGTAAAAATCAGCCTAAGTACACATTCCTTCATTTTCATATTAAAAGTATATTATAATGTAGTATTTATAATGGATTAAATTTGGATTCCAATTTCAGTCCTGTCTTTTTTGCGATCTGTTTTGCGACACAAGCGCACAGAGTGTACTAATTTTAAGCCACGCACAATGTGATGATGTCAGGACCTAGTTAGAATCACAGTGCACAGTTGCTAAGGCCTTCTCCTCTTTGTATTTGCTTTTGCTTTGTACAAAACACACGCGAAACCTCCGGCTAATGTTATTCCCAATGACGTTAATAACTGCGGTGGTCTGTTACCGACGATGCTTTTAGTTGCCGCTGCTTAGTTATGTTAAGATGCAATATCGCCATTTTGGATGGGCTCGTAAATGGGTGTTGTAAAAGAGTTCAAATGGCCCGTGACACGCAGAGATCAGTTGGGAGAAGGTGAAAGGCCACAGACGTTGTTCTCATTAAGTTTGATGACGAGACAATGGGAATAAAAATGAATGTGTGTGAATGAGAATGGCTGGGCTGTAACTGTGAATAAAGTACAGGTTACAGCCCTCCGTAGACCCGTCATAGAATTAGGAAAAAAGAAGTTTGCGAAGGGACAAGTATACGTGGCTCTCAGCAGAGTCAAAACTTTAGGAGGTATAGCTCTATTTGATTAAGAATCCTCTAAACTGTTAAGTAAACCCCACTATGAACGAGCAGGAGAGAATCTCCTAATTTTTTGTCTTTAAAAAAAAATTGTTCGTTTTTAGTGGAAACTAGATGCATTTTCTTTATTTACAATAGGGGCAGGCCATATAAACGCACTGCTCCAATGAGTCAGCGAGGTTTCGGAGTAAACGAAAATATCATCAATGTATACAACTTCGAAACCTAATAAAGAATTTTTGAAATCGGTTTAGGCGTTTACGAGTAATCGGTGAACAAACATAAAAAAAAAACATCTCTTTTTTTGAAGTTGTTTAAAAATGGTGTCTAGAGCGGTCACAGATCTCGCAGATTTGAAAATTTGTTTTCTCTATTTCCATAAAGAACACGAATTCTCAAATCCTACCAGATCAGACGGGAAACGAGCAGACAGGTCACCTGACAGTAAGTGACAACCTCCGCTCATAGACTCTTGCAACTTAAGACTCACAAGTTGCGGACTTTTGAGGGTGCTGTTGCCGCTATTGTCTTCACGATTAAAAGGTCGTATTGGTCCGGCAATGCTGCGAGCGACTACTGGTTCCTTAAGGTTACTAAAAAGAAAATTTTCTTTGTTATGATCATACATTGTAGCGGTTTATTTGAGACGAGAGTCATTAATTAAACTTCCGAAGTCATTAGTGATTGTTTCGAGTTCCGGTGGATAATATTTTGGACAAAGGACAGGTTGACCTTGAATGTAAACCAACTTGAACTGATTGTACGTTATGCAAATGGATGCTTTAATTATAGTAATTATTTTGCTTAAACCAGTTCTCAAGCACATTATTCTAGAAAACATTTTTTTTTCTAATGTACAAGGTTTTCAACACCATGACCTCCATTGAAAACCTTGCATATACGTACACGTGTCCTATCAAATTGAAGACTATTAGTAAGAAAACATGTATCTGTAGGTAATTTGACTTTGACTGCACGGATAGCGTAGTGGTTCAAGCGGTCGCCACGCCGCTTACTAATACGCTGAGTGTTGTGGGTCCGATCCCCACATTTGACGACACTTTGTGTGATTCACAAATTGTTGTTTTGAGTGTGGGTGTTCTTTGTGTCCGTTCCATGCATGTTTGTAAAGTCCCTCGCGACACAGGAATTATTCCTATTGCGAGAGTTATCTTTAAAAAAAACATCTAAAATATGTATGTGTTCAGAAATATATAATTATGTTTAACAGCAGTCTGGTACCACAGTACAGGCTCTGCCTAGCTCTGGATTAGATGACTGTGCGTCAGATGTGTCCAGTTATTAAAATATGGTTACTTTTTATTTTGACTAATCAAAGTACTGGCCCAAATTATCTATACAATTTTACCATTATGATGGCAGTTTGTTAATTCCTTTACTGCAGAAGTGTGCTGGACGTACTCGGATCTACCCACTTTTTTCTTTTTTTTTTCCGTGCGGAAATCCCCTCGGATAGGTGGTACCTATCGGTGGCATGTCGGACACGAACCGACTAAAACCGCACGCCGTCTCGGGTACTAATAGCCGGGGAACCAGGTATACCCTAGAAAGGAAGTCCCTGGTGCCTCGACATCCGGATCTACCCACTAAGACGAACGCTTACGGTCTCTTTCAGGATTCACTTTAACTCGCGGGTAACAATTCGATTCAGAATTCCCTCGTTTCTATGCCGATTCAGAAGTGCTATGCATGCTGCGACGCATGAGTTTCGCTGATCGTCGCTTAGTTCTTGTGGCTCCCTTATCTAGCTTTTTTATCTTGCCTCTCTGACGCAAGTGCTTTAATGTTTTGACACTAACTCCAAAGCCCGCAGTTAGCTCAGCCCTACATTGAGTTGGATCCTTTTCCAATATCGCCTTCAATTCGTCGTTGTAAACTATAGTTACCGGCCGACCGCGAGCCTCGTTCTTAAACTCAAAATTTCCAGATCTAAAACGTTTGAACCAATAATAGACCGTGTCTATGCAAGCAGTACTAGGCTAATACACGTCGTTAATGTTTCGTGTTGTTTGCGCAGCGGTATTTCCACGTAATTCATATTCGAAAATTATACGAATTCAAAAAGAAAAACCCAAAAACAAAACACTGTCTAAAATAAATTACATGACTTTGGAATAAAATTTATTTAAATCCGTAAATGCTGGTTTTAAAAATCTCCAACTTTATAGGAAAATATCTATTATTTTCACCTGAATTCGGTGACTTTTGGGTGCTGAAGTAAATAACTATCCCATTCAGCGCCGCCGTACTCGTTTGAGTACCGTTAGTTTTTGTAACATAGCTTTTACATTCGAACAATTTAATAAGTTTTTGGGTAATTTTATTTTTAAGAATTCACTTAATCAAAATATTAATATCTTATGAGGGTGTAATTTGAAATCGTGTTAAAGTGAGCATTGCATATCGACGAGACATCACGCCACTGTAGGTAACGATAGTTAAGATTTAGGATATTTACGGTAATTTTTAGATCATTCAACTTAAACTAAAATCACTATTGTGTGAAATAATTCACAGAAAGTAAGTAATATGCAAGTATTAGTGAAAATTAGTTGAAGGAAACATTGCTGTACTCGATCGAGTGCAGCGGAAATTATTATTATATACATTATAAAAAAACCTTTGTTTTAGTTTCTGCTGACTAACAATGATTTCCAAACGTTTTGCGATTGTTAACAACTACAAGGGATTAGAAGAAGCTGTTCAAACTATTCTTGAGCTATACTAGCTGACCCGGCAAACGTTGTCTTGCCATTATTTCTAGTAATTATGGAAAAAAAATATGGGTGGGTCACCCTTGTCATTTAGGGGTATGAAAAATAGATGTTGACCTATACTCAGTCCTACCCGATGTGCATACAAAATTTCATAAAATTCGGTCCAGCCGTTGCGGAGGAGTATGGTAACTAACATTGTGACACGAGAATTTTATATATAAGATATATATATAACGCCGGCTATGATGCAGCCATTGTACCTGCACCTCCGAGCGTGGTGGCGGATGAAGAAGACCTGAAGAAGACTTATTGACTACTTTACAGCCTCGAGATGTTTCCGGAAGTGTCAATACATAATAATTATTCCGATGATTAGCAGTGACGATGAACTTTTGTTGAACGACTTCCACTTCATCAACAGGAAGAAATCCCATCTTGGCGTAAGTGTAAACCAAGTTATTCTACAACACTTCTAAGGCAGATCGAAAAAAAGTAGCTCTCAAAGAAGAACTCGAGGATTCGAATCATACCGAAATATTCGAAAAATATTTGATGAAAGTTATTGAACTCAGTGTTATTGAATAAATTGACGGGCCTTTTGGTCTAGTGGGGTTCGATTCCCACCCAGGACAAATATTTGTGTGATGAGCACAATCATTTGTTCTGTGTCTGGGTGTAATTTATCTAAAATATGTATCTATTTAGAAAATATATAAGTATGTTTATCAGCAGTCTGGTTACCATAGTACAGGCTCTGCCTAGTTTGGGATCAGACAGCCGTGTGTGAGATGTGTGAAAAAAAAAAAAACATATGGATGATTAGATGGAAAGATAACAGCGTTTGTATAAGGCAAACCACAAATTACGATACGTTTATACCACTAGGCGTGGCAAAGAGAATCTATATAGGTATGTCGTTTGTTTCAGAATTATAATAAAGGAATGTATGGAGTAGATAAACTTGACCAATCCATATCTCTCTACAGAATGTGGTGTTGGGTTCTATTCACCTATATGACAGACATGGCTGTAGCGAATAAAGTTCTCACGCCCATATCAACATTAAAGTTTTCATTCTTCATTCACCTATGACTGAGAGCAGTAAATAATGCTCTAAGATCTATGATTTACAATAAAAAATACTACTGTTGCTAGTGCGTTGCCCATGAATTCTCAAGATTACAAAGTTGCATATCGATACGAGGATTTGGTTAAAATAAATATTCAAAATTTGATAAACGTGTTAAAACTAAAACTGCCTTACTTCAAGTTGTTCTTCTAGTTTGAGAATTGTCTCCTCGGCTGTGGTGTTCTTCGCATCCAACTCTTCAAGGTAGCTCAGCGCATTGGTGAGGCGCTGCTTCGCGCTGTCCAGCTCACTCTGCAAACGCGCCTTCTCTTTCTCAAACTTCTCTTTCTCTTTAACAGCTGATGTTGCCCCACTGGAGTATAAATTAGATGTTGGTTTGTTTAGTAAAACCTCAAATATTACTTACCGGTTTTTTATTATTTTCCCCTAACAAGAAGATAGATTTTATCAGTATATTAATATTTTAATTAATATAAAAATTTACGATCCCCTTTAACTAATAACTAAATTTTTTTTATCCACATTAAAAAAAGGGTCTACAAAAGTTACGTTACGTTATGTGGAGGATTTTTGAAGAGAGATGCCGGAGCTCTGTTTTACTTGACTCCTGCTGTTCGGGTGGTTTTAAAAGAAATAACCACGAAGGTATAAGGCGCCTAACCTAACCTGTCCGTGTCAGGGTGGGTGCATAGAAGATTGCGGAAGTAAAGACATTGTGTTATTCAAGCAACTGTCAAATGGTTTAAAAAATAAAACAATACACTTGCAATAATCCTGTTCTCAAAATTTAAAAGCAGTGCAAACAGTGCATTAGATGCAGGGATTTGGTGATAATTTACTACATTTAGTCTTTAAATCAAACTCAAACTCTTTATTTCATAAAAATCAGTTGTCTGTAAAGTCGATTTACTGACGATAGTTGAACGTGACAACGTCATAAGAAAATACTGATGGAATGGTAGCATTTTTCAGAAATGTATTATTGTATACGAGTAGCAGCTGTCCACGCGGACGCATCGCTCACTCAAGTAGGAGAGAGACAGATGTCGAACGCTGCCGAACGCGGAGGCCGACTGTGCCTCTTTGTCACTCGTTCTGCGCTCTCGCTTGCACTTCACGCCTTAAATGGAACGCCTCAGAGCGAGGTAACGCCGCATGAGTCATGTTTTTTCGTGCGTGCAGCCGGCTCCATCGAATTATAAGACGTTGTCACGTCAAAAAATAAATTGTTTGATAACGTCGTTTATGTAGACTCGAAAGTCATAGATCAACACACACAAAAGCTACAATCTCTGTTTTATCAAATAGTAAGCAAATAAATTTAACAAAAATTAAACTTTTACAAAATCTATGATATGCCTGTACCGATCTATAACCGCCCGTTTCCAAGCGGTTGAGCCTTATGAGAAGAAAAGGCAAACAAACTCATGGCCTGCCTACACTTTAAATAACATTTAAAGTGTAGGCATGACTAAAACAGCTAACAGCTTAACTTTAATAGTTTATGATATCTAATTTTAGACTATCTTTGTTTTCACATGTTTAGTTTTTTTTTGGTGTTTAGTATTTTTATTGACAAGAGAGCTTAGGGCTACATTTTTTTTTGGTGATTATTAAATTTAATCCAATTGCAAAGTACATAAAGTTTAACTTAATTTATTATCACATTAACAGCCTTTACTATTCCACTGCTGGACATAGGCCTCTCCTTAAAAAGGAGGTTTTGGCCTACTATACCACGCTGACCAGATGGGTTGGTATAGGGTTTGTGTCAAATTTTCCTTCTCTTTGTAGTGCTGTTGTACTGCGTAGTTTGCTCCCTTAGTCGGCTCTTACGACACCCACGGGATGAAAGGGGGGTGGTGTCACTTCGTATTCTTAATAATAGGGGTTAAAGTATGAGATTACCGTTGCAACGGTAATTTCATACTATACATAGTATATATGTATTTATATCAGTTGTCTAGTACCCATAGTACAAGCTCTGCTTAGTTTGGGACTAGATGGCGTTGTGTGTATATGGTAGAATATATTATATTATATTATTATTATTATATACTTTGAATTGACATAAAACCTTAATGGTATGAGATTTTCGTGTAAATCTTTTTTCACATAATACCTGTGATGTTTTTCTTCAAAAAAATGTGTAACATTCGATTTTTGATTTTCGACTTTCAATTGTTTTTTTTTATTCAGCTTAGACGTGAAAGAAGTATACGCTTTAAAAATCCGAGTCATTTTTGATAAGAAACGGCTCGCAATATTAACGTGCGTTTGGAGAGGAGACTGTTAATGAACGCACCGTGCGTTTTTGGTTTAAACACTTTCGTAATAACTTCGACTTTAAGAACGAACCACGTTAAGTGACGGTGAATAACGCTGAATTAAAGGAGATGGTGGAAGCCGATCCGAGTCAAACTACCCCGGCATTAGCGGCATGGTTTAACGTTACCCTACCTACAATATTAACTCATTTGCAACAAATCAATAAGATAAAAAAATATGAAAAATGGGTGCCTCATGATTTTACTGATATGCAGAAAAAAATGCGTGTTGAAACATGAGTTGTCTTGTTGAATCGGTACACAAATGAAGGAATATTGAATTGAATTGTGACGAAAAGTGGATTGTTTACGATAACCGTAAGCTTAAAATGCAACGGCTGACCCCAGGTCAAACGCCGCAACAGTGACATAAAGCAAAGCTTACCAATAAAAAGGTAATGGTAACTGTTTGGTGGTCTCTTCATGGTGTTATTCACTATAGCTTTCTCAGGTCTGGTCTGTCAATAACAGCAGATGTTTACTGTGCCGAACTTCGAACAATGATGGCGAAACTGGTAGTGAAACAGCCCCTACTCGAATCGATCTTCACCATTACTGCTCCATGATAACGCAAGACCTCACACTGCACGAGAAACCGTTGTAACTCTACAGGAGCTGCAGTCAGAATCCATACGTCATCCTCCGTACTCGCCAGACCTTGCTCCAACGGACTACCATTTTTTTCTTGATTTGGACAATAAAAAAGTCTCCAGGAGGAGTACCGCAGTTTTTACACAGTTTGTCGATTCCCAGGAGTACTATCGTAAAGGCATAAATGAACTTCCGTTTGGATGGCAGCAATGATAATGAGGGTAAATATTTTGATTAAATTAATATGTTACAAGTTTCAATTTTTTAGTACATATCGGTAATTTTATACTTTAACCCCTAATATTATTCTTGCTATTGAAAAGAATATATATTTTTTTAAGGGAACATACAAGCTGTTATTAAAATGGATGGATTAAGTGTAGCTCATATTAGCACGTAACTATTACAAAGCGGCAACAGATTTAGAAATAGCGTGATTTCTTTTACAGAAATTTTATTTTAAGGAACCATTTTTATGACACATCTGTCGTAAAAATGGTTCCGTTAGATAACAGATAATGGATCCATTAAGAAAACTTAATATCAGTTCTTTGTCATCTAAAGAAAATGTTATGAAGATGATTTTTTTAACGTTTTAAATTTACGTTTTAATTAAATGATGTAATGAATTTATCATTACATCATTTATTAAAACGCCATTATATATTGTTTCGATAGCGGCAGTTCTTTGAGGTCAAATTGTCGCTTCCTGTTATTTCGTTTTGAAACACATTGCACGAGGACATTAGCTTATGTGGATTATCTGAAGGTCAAGCACGGTTACACGTGTCAAAATAGCGGTGAATTGTTAAAAGCCTTGTAGAAAAACCGTCTAAAAAAGTTCAGGAAAATGCTCTTCCTGACATAACTAGTTATTTCGCACATGCTGAGAGATTTGAAAGGAAGGACATATTTATATTGTGAAAGAAATCCTATCTTAGTTGGTTTAGAATTTATTTTTATTTAAGATTTAAGTTTGTTTCGTGAAGATTTTTCTTTTATCTATTTCTACTGCTTAGTTAAACTGCCAACAAAATGTCATGCAACATGTTATTAGCTTAAGCATATTGTCAGAGTGTCACAATGTGTAAAATGTGTAAAATGTAAACAGGCTATTGAGTTTCTTATCAATTAATAAATAAATTATTTTTCCTGACACAGGTGCTGAAGAGCAAATTACAAATCCGCGTATTTTCTTAATTTAACACCAGGAAGAAAAAAATATTATCTTGGATAATTTGATACATTTTGCATTTAACTTATTTGGTATTCCTTTGCTATCTATATATATATTTGACTATTGGATGGCGTAGTAGTTTGTGTAACGGACTGCTATTCCAAAGGTCGCGGGTTCTATTCCCGCTCAAGTCAAACATTTGTGTGCATGAACATTTGATGTTTGATATGGTCTGGGTGTTTCTATGTATAATAGGTATGTATTTACAAAAAAAAAAAAGTATGAATGTATTTATATCAGTTGTCTAGTGCCCATAGTACAAGCTCTGCTTAGTTTTAAATTTAAGTTAGTATTATATATAAAATGTTAAATTGATTTGTGTACGCTTCTGTTCAGTTCTGTTCAGTTCGGCGGAGATTGAGCTCAAATTTTGACACGAAATGTAACCCGCTTCAAAGGTGGTATCTATCTATTTTTCGTGTCAGTTTATTTCATCATTTCTCCACAGCGAAGTGAGGCAGGGTACAGCTAGTATTTTATATGAATGTGATACAAAATCTAAATTATAAGTAAATACGCGGTATTGCAAAGTGTTCTTAGGCGTTTTTGCAGTCTCGTCGACGGTATATACTTTTTTTTTATTCGTAGATCTTTGGACAAAGCTGGACCTTGGTATTTAAAGCCAAGACTTTACTAAATGCCAGTTTTTCATAGTAAATATAAGTTTTATTGGTCAATCAAGCTTAAATTTATCAGTTTCAGGGCTTTACGTCCTTCAAGGGTCAATCGTACGACCCTAAAGTGTGACCATGCATTTTGATCACGGTTTTTCTGTCCACACGGAAATACACACCCGGGTCTAACTGTATACAGTTAAAAGATAGATAGATACAGTTAGAGATATATCAATAACAAAAAAAAAGAGCATATGCGAAGGGGTGTACCACGCTGGCCAGACGGGTTGGTATAAGGATTGTGTCAAGTTGTCCTTCTCTTTGCAGTGCTGTTGTCCTGCTTACTTTACTCCTTTAGTCGACTTTTACGACACCCATAAAAAGTAAATTAGCTAAACAGAAGTTTATTACCAGTCCAGTAATAAAGTTCAATAATCATCATTACCAATCAATTTCATTTTTTTTTTAAATATACACTATTAATCACTTACGCATCATCATCTCCTGCCCGTTTCCTGGCGTCCAGCTCCTTCTCCAGTCTAACAACTAGTTTCTTCATGGTCTCCATGCTTTCGACACCGACCAGCTCCCGCGCGTGCATGGCATCCGCCAGAGCTTTCGCTTCCTCTAAAGAATAGAACAAAGAAGAAATAATTAACATATCATTAGGCAACCCAAAAAGTCCCTACATGCAGATCTGCAGTATTAGTTTTGTGTATTTTACAATAGTTATTGCCGGGTCAGCTAATAATGTTATAATATTGTTTTGCCATATAAAAAATACTAAAATCGCCATTAAAAATGGGGTAAAAATACTTTAAATAAAAAAACTATTATTAAAAAAACATTGTATATATATTAAAATCGGTCGAGCCGTTTCGGAGGAGTGACACGAGATATATATATATATATAAGATAATGGGGTATACATAGGGTTATAATTTATATTAATAACTAGCTGAGACCCGCGGTGTTACCCGCGTTTGTTGTTAAAATCGCGGGCAACGCCGCGGGGCGAAGCTAGTCTAAAAAAAGTAGCCTAAGTTACTCCTTATGTCATCAGCTATCTGCCAGTGAAAGTCCTGTCAAAATCGGTCCAGTCGTTCCAGAGATTACCCGGAACAAACAGACAGACAGACAGACAAAAATTGAAAAAAATATTATTTTGGCATACGTACCGTGTAAACATACATGTGCATTTAGTAAAAAGCGGTTATTTTAATATTACAAACAGACACTCCAATTTTATTTATTTGTATAGAATAGAAGATATAGATATAGATAACCTCACATATCTCACACATGGTAGTCTGATCCCTAGGGGCCTTAGATCCTGTCCTATGGTAACCACACTCTTGATAAACACACTTACAAATTTCTACATACATGCAAAAAGATAAATTACACCCAAACACAGCACAAATGATCGTGCTAATCTCACAATTATATTTCCTGGGTGGGATTCGAACCCACGACACCTGGCTTACTGCAGTAGACCAACAGGCCAGTTGCAACAGGCCAATCAAATATATATGAATAACCATAGAAATCATAATAATAAGACATTTGTCTGTCAGTGTCTTATTATTACGATTTCTGTGTGAATAACCCTAGCAGCAGTAGACTAGGCAAGGTGGCGCGACGTGTTTGGCGCGCGCCTCTAAACCAGAACGGTACAAGCCACTAGACATTTCAATTATTGCTACTTTTAAATGATATTCGTTTGATGAAATGCTTGGCTTTAGTCACAGTGATTGCACATGTGATTGTGTATTCGTCATGGACAAAGATGTGGCATTAAAATCAATCAAATCAATCTTTTTATCAAAGATTAACTATTTTTTAGTTTCAGTGCTTTCGCGAGTCTTGCGCTAGCGTAATAATAATAATTAAATAGCAGTGGTTTCAAAAGTCAGTCACAGTTGTAATTATATGATTTATTTAAAAGGCACTCTGCTCACAGTGGTGTTGCTGCCGGAGGCGGCTTAGCTCAACTGTTCTCGGAGATTTCCCTCCTGGGGTACCTAGGGGCCCTTGGGCCACCTTGGGCCATTGGGCCACCTTGGGCCCCGTGCAACAAATTCAAATATACTCTAAAGTACGGGGTATGCTTAGTTTGGGTTTAGATAACGCTGCCATATATATTTTAGAAGGTACTCGTGAAATAATCGCACCTATTTCTGCGCGGAGTATCTCGATTGTCTCATTGCCTTCAGCAATTTCACGCAGGTAGCCCGTCACTTTGTCATCAAAACGTTTCATTTTGGCCTGAAAAGAATTTAAATACATTTGATTTACTACGATACAGAAAGCCTTATTGTCATATTAAAATAATAAATACTATAAACTTATATTTATATTACATAAAGTTACCTACGTTTATTTCATAAAGCACACAAAGACACACACACGCAAACGTATACGTATACACAGACGCACACACACACACACACACACACACACACACACACATACACATAACACATGCAAAAGGACACTTCTTGTCTATTTATTTATTTATTTATTAGGATCTCCTACGAAAGATATACACAAGTAAAAAAAAACAGTAATTAACAGAATGGGTATAAAGTCGGTGTACTACTTCACTTACAGGAGACCACAGCAAGCACACTATATTGAATATTATACATTTTTGAGAAAAATAAATACCTTTTCAACGGGTAGACATAGATAACGATAAGTTTTGAATGTGAATTTGATATGTTGAATTTTTGTTTACCTTTAGGTTAGCAACCTCATCCGCGATGACAGCCTTATCGACTTTGACCTTGAAATAAGAGTCGTATAATTTGGTGTACACGTCGGAGATCAGCTTCATACCTTCCATCTCGCGTAGCTGCTCCAACACCTGATAAATTACACGTTATTATAACCAAGTATTCACGTGCGCGCAGATACGCATACACAAGCGCACAGACATACATACATATGCAAACATAATATGTCATGTAGGGGTTTTTTTTTTAATTTTTATTCTTTGTGTAAATTTTAATTTACTATGTTTTTTTTTGTCTTTCTTCTTTTAGAATATTGATGTAAATACTATTGCTAATATATACATATATTGGGGGAAGACACTGGCACTTGCAACACAGTATATACTAGCGCGGGTGTCAGAGAATCCTGTTATCATCATCATCATCAACAGCCTTTACTAGTCCACTGCTGGACATAGGCCTCTCCTTAGAAAGGAGGTTTTGGCCTACTACACCACGCTGGCCAGACCGGTTGGTATAGGGTTTGTGTAAAGTTTTCCTTCTCTCTGCAGTGCTGTTGTCTTGCGTAGTTTGCTCCCTTAGTCGCCTCTTACGACACCCACGGGATGAATTGGGGTGGTGACACTCTGTATTCTTAATCCGTCACCACACGGAGTGTGTTCCTGTTATAATTGTACAATATTTATGTCAATAAAGAATATTGTTATTATTATTATTCAAGAACCTTGGTGGTCTTCTACACTTGGGTGAAGGGTGAGCATGAGCGGGACCTAGTACCTTCCTACGCCGGCTTAAAAGGAGTTGGTTCGATATCGTAACAGATGATATCAGAGTCAACTTGCCAGTTTGAATGAGCAAGATAGGATAAAGTTTAAGAAGAGAATGTTAAGTATTGGAACAAAGGGCATTGGTGCGTTGGCAAATAAAGGGTTCGATTCCCACCCAGGACACATTATTCACGAGCAGGATCATTTCGTCATCATCGTAGAATAATGTCCTTTTTGAAGAAAAAAAAACGGAATTGAGTTTTTACCATATTTGGATCCTACATTGTCTTAATATTATTACTACATTCAAGAAAACATTATATATATTTTAGATTTTAAATTATTCAGTGTTTGTTTGATAAGCGTTCAAAGTAAAATGAAGCATGTGATTTTTCTAGAAAATTGTACAATTATTATTTATTATTTTATTTCAAATTTTACTTGTATGCCAATTTTACTTGTATGCCCTATTCAAATTTTACTTGTATGCCCTATTTTTTACTTGTATGCCAATTTTCATAATTACGAATTTCGAATTAAAAAAGTTATGTCAAAAAAAAAAACCATAATTATTTGAAATGGTTGCCCTGTAAAGTTCAAAAAATGTCAGATCCGACACTATCCTACAACTATGAATATTTGTTCTGTACCTAGGTGTAATTTATCTGCACCAGGGACTTCCTTTCTAGGGTATACCTGGTTCCCCGGCTATTAGTACCCGAGACGGCATGCGGTTTTAGTCGGTTCGAGTCCGACATGCCACCACCGATAGGTGGTATCCGAGGGGATTTCCGCACGGAAAAACAAAAGGTGTAATTTATCTAAAATATCTATATGTATTAGTAGTCTGGTTAACATTGCACAGACTCTGCTTAGTGCCGTATCAAGAAGTACTGCTAAATTAATCCAGCTGCCCAACGTAAGCCTCTGCAGGTGTTGGTCGGTGACACGGACATGACGGCCAGCACCATGATCTTCTCGGGGACTTCAGGACCTCAATTCTGCAATTTTAATATTGTATCAATAGACTGTCGATGGAATGTCGTCCGAATAGTTTTGCACTTTCCTTATTCTACTAACTATGTAAGACCAATGGCCACTGATACAAATGTCATCGATGTCTTTGTAATAGTTTGGTACATTTTAAATTTATAAGAAAATTATATATTTTATTTTCATGATATGGTAATATTGTTTTACCACCATTGATATTACTATATCGACAGTCTATTGACACTGAATTTATGTTAGTAGGACACCGATATTTTGACTGATGTCAGTGGCATCTCAATAGCATCTCAATAGCGTGTCAATGGAATGACAGTGGCTTGGCGTTAACATAAAATAGCAGAATTGAGGCCCTGTTCTAGGGTATACCCTTGCAATACTCACTTGAAACCAAGCACCGTTTAGTTTTAGTCGGTTTGATTCCGAAATATCACTTCACTAAGAGCTTGAGTTTCCACACGAAAAAACCACGGGGTAAAATAACTATTGTTCTTTCTTTCGAGTCTTGTTTCTAACTAGGTTAGGGTCGGCTTTAAGTCGACTGCGATATGGCTGGACTTAGATTTTTTTACGCGTAGCTACTGCCATGAGACCTCCACAACTCAATTACTAGGCGATACCGAATTCCTGCAGAAAGACTGCTGTCTGCTGCTGAAGTTTTTAGGGCTCTAACTATCCGTAACGATTGCCACAGATGATCGTATGGCCTCCGGGATCGACGGCTTAACGTGTTATGAATGGTCACCCATCCATAGATTGACCTGGCTATGCTTGCTTAACTTTGCAATGTGTTTAGCTACTCGCTAACCACTTAGCCACGAGCCCCACCACACAAGATAGCTGTTGTTGTGTCTATTACTGATAAAAGCTGGTAAAGTGCGTCACATAAGTACTGTTATATTGTATTACTAGCTGAGACCTGCGGTGTTACCCGCGTTTGTTGTTATTACCGCGGGCAACGCCGCGGGGCGAAGCTAGTCTAAAAAAAGTAGCCTAAGTTACTCCTTATGTCATCAGCTATCTGCCAGTGAAAGTCCCGTCGAAATCGGTCCAGCCCTTCCAGGGATTACCCTGAACAAACAGACAGACAGACAAAAATTGTTAAAAATGTTATTTTGGCATATGTTCCGTGTAAACATACATATGCATTTAGTAAAAAGCGGTTATTTTAATATTACAAACAGACACTCCAATTTTATTTATTTGTATAGATATATTATGTTTAAGTGTCAAGTAAGGTGTAGTTTACAGTAACTACCAGAATTAGCCAATTACACCCAGCCGAGAGTATTACTAGTAAAATGCGACAGACATACTCGTAAATACCATTTAACAGCTGGTACTTTGAGAAAGTTAGATTTTGAAGACCTAAGTTGCGGGGTCGTATTGCATCCCCAGAGGTTCGATTTCCGTTCAGTTCAAAAATCATTCTGTATATTAAATAATATTGTAATTATCTTTTCTTTTTTTTAAACACAACTTCCGTAGTAGGAATGTATCCAGTGTCGCTGGTGACTTTACAAACATGAAACGAACACAAAAAAAGCCCAGACTTAGAACAACAATTTGAGGATCACACAGAGTATTGTCCCATATGGGGATCTAACCCACAAACTCGGCGCAGTAGAAAATGGCGAGGTGACAGCTTAAACCACTACGCCATCCGCTCGGTCAAAATGATTTAATATAAACTTATACATATGGCACTTGGTATGTCCATCTGTATTCTAAAACCCACAGTAAAAGCTTTCTTAGTTTAAGTCTGGATAATTTTATTAATATTCTACCACATTCACACAACGCCGTCTAGTCGCAAACTAAGCAGAGCTTGTACTATGGCTACTAGACAACTGATATAAATAATAGCCTGTATATAACAATAATAATATAAATAATAGTGGTTTGTGTAACGGACTGCTATTCTAAAAGTCGCGGATTCGATTCCCGCTCAAGTCAAACATTTGTGTGCATGAACTTTTAATGTTTGATTTGGTCTGGGTGTTTCTATGTATAATATGTATGTATTTACAACAAAAAAAGTATATATGTATTTATATCAGTTGTCTAGTACCCATAGTACAAGCTCTGCTTAGTTTGGGACTAGATGGCGTTGTGTGAATGTGAAAATAATAATAATAATAACCTCACACATCTCACACACGCCAGTCTAATCCCAAACTAGGCAGAGCCTGTGCTATGGTAACCAGACTGCTCATAAACATACTGATAATATATTTCTAAATAATTTTAACTAAGTCCCTGGAGTTGCCATGGTGAAGCCGTCCTGTTCCTAATTTCGTTAACTTAAGCAATATTTTGACCAATAAATATGTTACTCACTCCCTACAATCTTCACTACTTACTTTTTCATATTCCTTCTCCGCTTCGGTGGTCTCGGAGCCGATGTTAAGGGCTCCACCGAAGGGTTCTTCCTCATCAGGATCCATCTTCGAATGGACACTAAAACTTAACAAACGACACTAAAAATATTCACAAACAATAATAAGAAAACAAGTAAAATTTGTAAAAAAACTGATCGGACACGGTGCTCGGCTGTTTATCTGGTTGCCGTGGGCACGGCGTCGGTGTGATTAAAAAGATATCGGCCATAGAGTTCGATGCGTTGTTACTTACTTTTTTTATTTGTAACGATGGAGGTTGGTGACTATTTTTACTCATAAATAGATGAAAAATAGTAACAATTAAAAGGTTTTCAGTTAAGTTATGGAAAATAATTTATTGATTTTATTTTTCCGAAAAATAATTAAAAAATTATGCAGACACTGAAACAGTTTTAAAATGATATAATTTTAACTACAATTAAGTTTTTAAACAATAAGTAATATATATTTGTGGATTCAAACAATTCTCACAGAATTCATATTATTAATCTAGTAGCAGTTTAAAATATTTAACGTCCTTGTTTACATCAAGCGATTGCCTGAAACACCGGTCTCACACGGAAATCAGCTCGGATATCACCCACCGGTGGGGTGGTACCAGTAGCCGGGGAGCCAGGTTTACCCTATACAGGAAATCCCTGATAACCCGACGTACCTGTAGATGATCACCTCCTTTGTGGGCCCCGGCCTGCTTCTGCTAGGGTGACAGATGGCCTCACTCGTCACCCTCAGGCTAGCGCCTATGTAGGACGGAGGTCGTTCTGCGACCTCCAGCGTCCGAGCCGTTTGCTCTAGGGCCTGACGGGATGGGAGAGTTCCAAATCTCTCCCGCTCCCGCTCTGACATCTTCTTCGCAAGCATAACTTGCTAGCAGAAGGAGACGGCGGAGTTTCGTTCGCTTCGTATCACGGCGGCAATCATACTACCGAGCGAGAGGACTTCTACTCAGATGGCCACCACGAGGTGTCGCCTGTGCTCCACCCAAGCTGGAGATTCTGTCAACGTGTAGAACGCCGTGTCCACGGTCCGTCCACCGCAGTGGTACACTCAGGCGTTGGCTCAGGCTCAGGATCTCCGAAACATCCTTTCCCGGTGATCACCTGCGTTAGCCGGTATGAGAGAGTTCGAATTCTCCATAAAGGGTCTTACCACCGCAATAACGGCGTGCCTGACAAGTCTACACACCTAGCTCAGGCCGTTTGCGAAAGAATTTGTAATATTTTGATTTACCTTTTTTCTATTCACTCTTGCACATTTTAGAATAGTCATATACTAGTTTTATGTTAGCTTTAAAAAAAAATCTAATGACAATAAGATGACACTCAAATACGAAATGTGACCAATACCTTGTTCTTAATCTGCAAATAAAGTTTATTTTAATTGTACCGGTAAGGGTATATATATAAGACTCCAACGGTAGTTAAAAGTGGCGATATATTGAATAAGATAATAAATAGGGGGAATGAATGGAATTCAGTAAACAGTTTACCGTGGGAGAGCCATGCTTCGGCACGAATGGGCCGGCTCGACCGGAGTGATACCACGGCCTCACAGAAAACCGGTGTTAAGCAATTCTTTCGTTGCCTTTCACTGAGTGAGCCAGAGTCACCGAAGCCCAAATCCCCAGCGCTGACTCGAGCGGGAGAGACTCCAAGGGCAGCAACGCTCTTGTGACTTGTGAGGTGCAGGTGTCATGGACCGCAGCGGTTGCTTACCATCAGGTGACCCGTCTGCTCGTTTGCCCCCTTGTACCATAAAAAGAAGCAGTGAAGATAACCTGTACGTGCCACTACGAGTATAAAGACGTACTTGTTCACTCTAAAATTAATGATAACGAAACAGAAATAACAGAATCAATAGTTTCAGTAATAGATATGGATAGATGAGTAAAAGTTAACACAGGCAAAACCGTGTGCAGAACAAGTGCAAGTTTATTTGCTAAAAATATACGCGGTAGCTTTCCCTCAATCATCTCCAAATAACTCCACATCCTTTTTTAACCTACCCTGACAGACAAAGCCGGCGATATTTATTGTTCGTATGAGTTCAAAGTAATTGCTTCGATTTAGTAGAATAAAATAATTGTGGTGTGTAATGAGGAAGTGAACTATTTGTCGATGGCCTTGGGGAGGGGAGCCGGCCTGGGTACTACTGACCGCTTAAACCAGAGATGTAACGAAGCCAATACTTCATGGAGATACCGGAATAGGAAATGGATGTCGTTTAAAGTGAGTACGTCGATTAAATTTGCCTTTGTCTAATGGTGTTATTAACAGCATTAAGATTATTCACGTAGGTAATGGTGAGGTTAAATTTTTGTTCTCAATATATCTTATAAAAAAATAAAATAGAAATCGTGTTAAACTCTAAAGGCATCAACAAACGCAATCGGAACAATCTGTTTCGTCAAATATTTTGTGAAATGATGTCAATCTAATATATGATTGTGCCGATCTACGCCACCCGTTTTCATGGGGTTGAGCATTATGAGAAGAAAGGGCAAACAAACTCACAACCACTCTTTTTTAATTACAGGTAGATACAGTCCGTGTGGTGACGGATTAAGAATACAAATTGTCACCACCCTAATTCATCCCGTGGGTGTCGTAAGAGCCGACTAAGGGAACAAACTAAGCAGGACAACAGCACTGCAAAGAGAAGGAAAACTTGAAACAAACCCTTTACCAACCAAAACCTCCTTTCTAAGGAGAGGCCTATGTCCAGCAGTGGACTAGTATAGGCTGTTGATGTGATGATTGATGAGATACAGTAGCATCATTAAAAATATCACAACATTGTTTAGATTTGTACCAGGATGACAGTTATGAAGGACTTAAAGGTAATGACAATGAAGAGAAGAAAACATAAAGAAAAAATATTTAATGGAATTGAAAGTGAAGTAAAACATAAAAAACTGAAAAAAAAACACATTTGCCCACACTCCACTTCCACTTAAGAAATAGCCTGTGCTAAATTAATCCCAAGCATTCTTGTCTTCTATGTAATCCACAATCGAGTAATAGGCCTTCTGACACAGCCTACATCTAATAAGTGACTTCAGCACCGCATGCGCTAATTGGTCAAATCTGATAATGGCTGCTTCCCCGGTTTCCTGCTATTCCTTCCACTCTGGCTTCCGACTCTTGTCATATTAGACCCACAGATTGCAGGAGTTAAGAAGAAAGATGTTAAATATAAAAAAAGAAATTACAAGACCTTAACTAATTAACTAAGTATCACTGTATTGTTCCAAATCCTCTTAGTTCTTTATCGGCATCGGCTCCGTTCAAGTCATATATAAAGGTAATTCAGTTGAGCAAGAAATCGAAGATGCGTCTCACAATAAAGTCCTTGACTATCGTCCGTTTAATACGGCGTCTCGTTATTAATATTTTATGGCTTACAACTTACCTGTTCTACAGACAAGTACATTATAAATTAATCACTAAATCTACCTATAAAATAAATAAATAGCTGTGGCTTTGTGAGCAGGTCAATTTACGAGTACCATCTAGCCACGTACTCGTATTTTATTGGTGCTATTTATCAAGAGACCTAAATTACAAAAGGACTTCGTTATCCTTTTGTATTTAATGTATAAAATTACAAAAGTACAACATAAATTAAACAACAGGGAGACTCAGACTAAATTAGGAACACATCAGTAGTTCTCAGAACATCCAAATAAAAAGCAGTGACACTTCGGGAGTGCAGACAGAAGTGAAAAATTTGAAAACTTAGTGTAAATTTTTGATTATAACAGCTTTTTTTTTTGTTTTTTTTTTCGATTCGAAAAGTGCCGACATGAATATATACCTACACAATATATGTTTATATTACATATTTCTCATTTTTTAAATACAACTTCCACATTAGGAATATATCCTGTGTCGCGGGGGACTTTACAAACGTACATTAAAACGGACATAAAGAACACCCAGCCTCAGAACAACAATTTGTGAATCACACAAAGTGTCGTCCTATGTGGGGTTTGAACCCACAACAGTCGGCGTAGAAGGAAGCGGCGTGGCGACCGCTTAAACCACGACGCTATCCGTGCAGTCCTGCAGTTTAACTAGTTTCTTTCCTCATTATTTATTTGGTTAACTAACAGCATGTATATGTTATATTAAGGGTAAAATCTAGCTGATAAGGTTCTGATATACATGTCACTTACGAACTAGCACAGCGTTGACATTACCGCCTCGGTTGTGCAGTCTATGCGACTGCTGTGCTGAGGTCTCAGGTTCGATTCCCGGATCGGACCAAATGTTTATACGATCTGCAAATATTTGTTTCGGAGCAAAGGTGTTATCCATGCAAAATACAGTGCAAATCGATAGAACAAAACTCAAGGGAATTAAAAAATATCTGTTTTACCGCGTAATTTGTTACAATGGGGTTTGTTGTATAGAGGTTAGATTGGACTACGATTCGTTTTAACAAGGTAAAAATACTTGTTCATTAACCTCCACATTACGTAGATGCTCATCTGCTTACCTTGATAAAGCGAACGATTTCCACAAATAAATAAAAATATTCTTAAACGAAAAGACAATGTTTTTTTTTACTTGAAAATAGTTTACACAGTTTTCTGAGCAAAACAAATCACAATCAATATTCGCATACACATACATATAAACATAGAAAATCAACAATGGTATTTTGATAGCTTAGTCTTCATTTTGTTTTGCGATTTCTATTTTTTTCATTGTAGGATTCTCGTCAACATAATGATTTTTTGTTTCTGTGCGACACTTAAGGAACACTTTTTTCGTTTCTCAGCCATTGCAACTTTAAAAGTAAAAAAAACCGGTCACGTACAAGTCGAACTCGTGCGCCGAGGGTTTCGTACCTACCCAGATTTTACGTAGATTTTCGCGAAAATTTGTAAGTACCAAAATTTATCTTAATTTTTAAACTTTATTTTATTTTTCAGAATTTTCTATACTGTCCTTGCTTTTAACCAAAATTGACAATTCTAGTTCAACCGATAGGTAATTTTTATATACCTAATAGGGAATAGACCTCAGTATCTGGTATAA